GTGACAGTGGAATATTCAGTTCTTGACCCAAGGCCTCTGTCCATATATCCTCTCTTGCCCCAGATCTAGAACCCTGTGGCGGTCCATAACTTTTTTTTGGGGGGGGGGCATAACTTTGAATATGTCTTTATTTTTGCTGTGAGTTGTATTGGAGGCAGTAGATTGGAATTAACTTGGATTCCAATTAACTTGGATTTTTCTTCTTTCCAATAATGTTTCAGTGGTAATATAAATATAACTTTCCAGATTGTGAGGACTGAAAAAGGGATTATAATATTTGGATTACAGTATTTCTGCCTCACCCTGACACTGGGAGCCACTATGGGGTCAGCCTACAGATGCTTTGAGTTCTGAGTTCAGTAGCCTCTCTTTCAAGATGGCTAAGGCTACACTCTTCCGGGGAACATCTGAACTGGGATAACTCATCAGCTACTGCAGTCCTCTGCATCCACCTCTGCATTTCACTGGTGTATTTCTTTGTGGAGGCCTCTGTGCTTCTACAGGTTCAAGCCACTTCTCCACATAGAATCTGGGCTCAGGGAGAAAGCAACACTTTTCGTCTCCTTCTTCTGCCCTGAGGGCTCTCTCTTTATTCTCCCTTTGGACTTTTTTTCCCCCCCAGATTTAACTTCTAAACTTATTGCTAACTGCCTTTATGATTGTACATTTTATTTCTCCTCAGATTATTTACTTCATGCACAAGCCAAATGGCTGAAACCCATGAGCCATAAAGTATGTCTAGCAATTAAATCTCAAGGAATAGTTTTATATATTTAGATTTCTTTACAGTGTTGGGGATTGAGCCTAAAACCTTTGCACTGAGCAACATCCCAAACCTCTTTTCACTTTTTGAGACAGGGTTTTTGTTAACTTGCTATGTTACCTAGACTGGGATGTAACTGGATCTTTGCTGGGTCCCAGAGACTCACTTCCATCCTTCTCTCCTTCACATTGCTATATTCCAGCCTCTGGACACCAAATCTTGCAGAGGCTCTTTGTGTTTCTGCTCACTCTGCCATGTGTAAGTAAGAACCAAGCTTTGTTTTTGTCTTCTAACCCTTAAAGGAAGCCAAGGAAGCCAAGGATGATGAGGGTCAGTCGGCCATGGTGACACGTCTCTAATTTCAGCACTCAGGAGGCTGAGGCAGGATTACTGCAAGCGTGAGGCCAGCCTGAACTACAAAGTGAGTTCAAGGATAGCCTGAATTGTAGAGTAAGACCCTGTCTCAAAAATTAAATACATTAGTAAAAAAAACCCTACAAAACTAGATTCCCCTAACCAGTCATCCCAACCTAGCTATCTGTTGAGACGGAAGGCATGAGTCTCATGCACTAGATCCACAGCGGTGCTGAGGACATTAGCATGGGTCCCCAAGGTGGCCCTGCACTAAGTTCTGGAAGGTCTGGTTCCTCTCAGGAGTTCCTCTGTGAGGCTCTGCAGATTTCCATTTGTGGCATGGTATTCCAGCAGATGTCTCTGATGTTCCCAGAAGTCTAAGAACTAGTGACACAGAGATACCACAAGGACCTCTAGAGTGAGGGAAACCTGGCAGCCAGCACTGGAGGAAGTCACATAATTGCTGTGCCTTTGTTCCTTCACCCCTAAAATGGGAACAAGGACAGAAAGAAGCACTTTTTCACTGAGACTTGCAGTAATGTAATCATTAACAGCCAAGCTGCTCATGGTGATACACACCAGTAATCTCAGCACTCGGGAGCCTGAGGGCAGGAAGATCACTGCAAGTTCAAGATCAGTTATATAGTAAGTTCAAGCTCAGCCTGAAATAGTGACTTTGTCTTAAAAAAACAAGAGAACAAAAACACTGCAGCTATTCTATTGTTGCTGTACCTGGTTATATCATGACCTTCATGACCAGGGTGCCTGACTTTCCAGCACCCCGGCATAGCAGCTCAAATGGAACACTTCCACAGCACATCCTTTTAGCTCCTGGACCTCTGGCCTCAGGGTCCGTGCATATGTTGTTCTTTCTTCCTGGACTAATGTCCTGGCTCCGTCGGTTTTTCATCTAACACCCTGCAGAGGGCTTTCCAGAACTCAGATTGAGACTTTCATCATGCTCCCATGCACCCAGAGCCTTCACATACCCTGGGTCTGCTGATGACCATGAGACAGCCCAATGACCAGTCATTCTGTGCTGAACTGTCATTAAACCCCTGCTCAGACCACCTTTCCATTCCAGGTTTTTGGAGGCGCAGGGTGTTGAGAGGACCTATGTAGTCAAGAGTGTCTCTGAACTACATGCCACGGGTTAGCCTCGAACCTGTGGAAACTGCGTGCTAGGGTTACATGCGTGGGTCACCATCCCTGGCTGTTATTCTTATCAGGTTTTACCTGCTTTTTTAAAAAAACCTTTTTGAGGCACAATTTCACTATGCAGTTCAGGCTGGCCTTAAACTCATCCTGTAGCTGAGGCTGGTCTAAACTCATGACAACCCACCTGCCTCCTAAGTGCTGGGATTAAAGTGTGCACCATATCCAGCTTCATGTGCTTTGTTTTTTTCTTGGTACTGGGAACTTAACTCAGGACCCTACAACACTTGCCAGGCAGCAGCTTATGCGGCTGAGCTATATCCCAGGCTGCTATTATTTAATTAGTATATGCTACAGTACACAATGTTCATGTTCACCCTAGTGAGCAGGTGCATGTACTTAACATTTTAACTGTTATACTTTAAGGTACCTTTCAGGGAATATTCTTAACCTGCTGGATGGAATTAATGTCATTAAGAGAAAATGTTTCTCAATGGATAAGTCTTGAATATTTGTCTTTGCTGAGACAAAATAACACCCTAAATTAAGGAAAGGTAATAAATAGCTCAGTTTGAAGTTTCAGTCCATATGAAGAAGAGGAGAAGGATGACAAGGAGAAAAATCTTTTACCTTTAGGACACTAAAGAAAAGTCATCCTCTAGGAGCACCCAGCCGTTGGACTCTTATGACCCTGTTACACACACTGGAGAGAACGGGTGGAAGGCGTGGCCTGTGGCCCTGTGCATTTAGGTGGAATGGGAACAGCAATGTGTTCACAGAGTATGAACAGCTGGACAAAAACCACATTATGTCTAAAATTAAATCTCATTTTTTCTTTTAATTAATGAAGTACTAAGTAGTAATATACTGTGAAATCAGGACCAAAACTAGGAATAAACTCATCTCCTACTTCACACAAACGAAAACTGTTAGCTTGTTGTACTTTAATGTGTAATATTCAGGACACAAGACATTGCACCTAAAATTAATATAAATTAAAGGGAGATCACATCAGTCATCAAGGGCTCCAGAATGTACAGCATCTTCATAACCCCCATGTTTATCATCTTTACTTTCTGGGTGTAATTTAATCAGATCATCGATTCGAAGAATGGTAATTGCAGCTTCTGTTGCAAATTTCAAGCTCTTGACTTTCACTATGGTTGGTTCAAACACACCTGCTTGCTTGTTGTCTCTCGGTTTACCGTTGATCAAATCAAGACCAATCCTGCAATTAAAGAAAAAACCTGGGTAAACGATCTCTTAGAAACTGATTAAGCAGTCCATTAATTCCCCCTACTCCCAATAATAAGACTAAGTAGTTCATTCGGATGTGTTACCTTCACTCCACAATGGATTTAACTCTATGTACTACAAAAGTGCACTACAAAATTAAAGATACAGTAGTTATGATTGATAAGGGCAGGACTGAGTACCATCAAAAGCCTTGAGACGGTAGCAAAGAACCCTAATTCCAAACCCAGCATGCTGACACAGACTGCTAATTCTAGCACTTGGGAGGCTGAGGCAGTAGGATAACCACAAGTTCAAAGTCAACCTAGGCTTCACAGTGAGTTCAAGCCCAGGCTAAACTACATTGTGAGATTATCTCAAGACAAAACAAAGCAACAAATGAACAAAACAAACGGAAAACCCCAATTCCAAGATCACTTAATGTGTAGTCCTGTGTCCTATGACAACATTTTGCCTAGTGGTATCACAGCTGTCTTGGTTTATTTAAATATACCGCATGATGTTCTCACAAGGGTCAAATCACTTAAAAAGATATTCCTCAGGAGTTGCTGAAGCCATGCCTGACTCTCTAAGGGAAGAGCCTGAAAATAAATGTGCTCATCCTTAAATCTGACTTTCCTACAAGTACTATGACTCTAACCAGAGAAGCAGGTTAGGGACCAGAGTTAAGCAGTCACTGCCCATTGGATAACCTGCAACTGACCAAACAATAAACCTCTTGTAATGTTTAAATCTTCTGACAAGTCTCTGATTGATATTTGCTGACACTCCCCCATCCCCATTGACCACCATTTCAAAAGTCATGTTCCCAATGTATAGAAAGGGATTTTTTTAAAAGTACAATTTATCATGATAAGTAGATGACAAGAAAAAGACAAAGAAACTGTATGCTCACCATTTTAGATTTTTACGCTCTGGGTTAACCTGAGCCTCATTATGAAAAGCCCTTAACTTTGCAACCAGATCTGTGGAGTCTTGAGCAGCATTCACCGCCAGCGTGTTGGGAATGACAAGAAGAGATCTTGCAAACTCCGCAATGGCAAGCTGCTCCCGAGACCCCTGAGGAGAAAGACAGTTTGGTGTCTCTTCAAAAAATTTGGGAAGAAGAACTCAGCGGCAGCTAAGGTTTCAGACAAGGCACACTGATCAGGTGCAAGCTAAGCTCCCAGCCCTCAGAAGTCACTCTTACCATGCTGGTGGCGTAGTTTTCAAGGTATATGGAGAGGGCGGCTTCCACAGCACCTCCTCCGGGAACCACAGATTTGGACTCCAGAACTCTCTTCACCACACAAAGGGCGTCGTGTAAAGAGCGCTCCATCTCATCACACATGAAATCATTGGCCCCACGTAAGATAACTGATGCAGATGTACGAGCCTTAGTACTGTGAAGAGAAAAAACCTGAAATTCTCAGTCATTCATTGCGAGGGCCCCGGTTAACTTCTGCTTACACAGGACCCTGACATCCTTGACCAAACATGTCCAGACCATGCAGAAGAGATGACGTAGCCACTTCATCTCAGTGTACAATGGCCCAACACTACTGTATCCCACGCGTATAACCGCTCATGTCACTGACAGACTACAGCAGCAAATAAATGGGAAGGAAATGTATTCGTCCTTCACAACAAAATCAGCATGGCCTTAGGATTCACAAACGGCTCTTACTTTTTGATTAAGATCAGCTCATCATCACAGATTCTCTCCTGTACCACCTCTTCTGCTTGTCCCAACATTGTAGCTTCAAAAGTTTCTTCACCTTCCAAATTGGCCAACGTTGACAGAATAGTTGCTATTAAGAGAGTTACACCATTAGGAAATAGTCTCATGATGATTTTCTGTTAGGTTTTGCTTTTTTGGTAGTGGGCCTTGCTTATTCAGTTCAAGTTGTCCTTGAACTCACTATGTAGCCCAGGCTGGCCTCAAACTCACTGTAATCCTCCTACCTCAGCCTCCTGAGTGCTGAGATCACAGGTGTATACCACCATTCTTTGTTCTCGTAATGATCTTACCATCATGTTTTATTCTGAGAAACATCTTTAAAAGTTTTTAATTTTTTTGCTTTTTGAGACTGGGCCTATGTTTAGGTTGGCTTTGAATTGTGGTGCTCCTGCCGCCTCAGCCTCCTAATGGCTGGGATTACAATCATGGGCCACAACACCCATGGCAAAAGTGTTGCACTATAGATCTCAGGTTTATGGCTTTCCCCCAAAGACGATCATACATATTAACATGAAGCATTTTACCCAAGACCTGGCAGAAGACGTACCTCCAGAAGCTTTAGCAATGCGTTTAAGATCCCTTTTCAAGACTCTTCGAACTGCCATAGCTCCTGCCTCCACGAAATACTTGAGACACATGTCATCAATCCCACCGGTGGTTAGGATAACATTGGCACCAGTTGCCAGGATCTTCTGAATTCTCTCCTTTGTGATATCTGATTCTCTGTAAAATAAGTATTTTAATAACTCAGTTACCCTCTCTGCCTTTTAATAATGCAATTATAACTTCCTTTAGGCATTTTCCATGAAATAGCTGCCAATTAAATTCTATCAACCGTTTTTCCCCAATTTAAAACCTAAATTTAATAGTCCAATTTATGACAAATTTTAAGCAATGAGAAAGTATCACTTTGCTCTCCAAACTCCAATTTGAGGGCTGGGGATTTAGCTCAGCAGCATAAGCACCTGCCTTGCAAGCAGGCGGTCGTGAGTTCGATCCCTGGTACCAATAAAAATGAAAAAGACCAAAAAAACAAAAAAAAACCAAAAAAAACCCCCAAAAAATCCAAACTCCAATTTGAGTTCTTAATCAACAAGTGTTATGTGAAAACACTAAAAAGACTGCTGCCCAAATCTAGTTGGAAAAATGACCAATCACACCTCTAGGGTCAATTCTATCACAGTGGCATGCAGAGACGCCATCTGCCAAGGAGGAGAGGCACAAATCCAGCCCACTAGGCAGGACCATATGTTAAGGGATGCAGAGTTCAAATTGCAGGGGAACAGAAGATAAAAAACTTGTAGTCCGTATGAATGTGCCTAGTTGGCTAAAACAGTTGGTAATTTTTTTTAGCATAACAGGCATTATTCAGTCTGTTTGTTCAAAAGGATTTCCTGATGATATGTAAAACATACTGGAAAGATGTAAGACACAAGACAAGAGATATTAATAAGAGACAAGAATATTGTTAAGGATGACCTAGGCACAGGCTAAAACCAGTCAAAGTTTATGACTTAGGTAATGGGGAGGTACAGTGACTTTTAGAGTAAAATACAGTTTGGGGGTAGGCTGGGAAACCAGGTGTATACACTGGGACAATATAGCCTTTGATACTTTGTTGAAGATGGTAGGACATGGTAAGGTTCATCAGGGAAATGACCAGTAAAGTGCAGGAAAGACAGATTCAAAACATTATATTGAAGCCATGTGAGTAGATGAGACCACTCAAGTTTTTTAGGTGCAGTCATGTGCCACACTCATGACATTTTTTTAAAAGATGGACCAAATACAGAACAGTGGTTCAAAAGATAATGAACCCCTAAAATTCTAACTATGTGAGAGCTACCTAACATCACGGTGCCATACATTACTTGTATGTCTGCAGTGATTAGGATACAGATATAATTCCTGTGCTTCTACTGTATACAATTATAGCTCACATTGTCACAGTACATAATATTCAAGCATAATAATAAATAAATGTACTTCTATTTTGTGTATCTGCTACACTAGTCATCCTATTTTATGTTGGGTCCACACTACGTTGCCCATGGCTGGTTGTAAACCCCTTCACTCACATGATCCTCCTGCCGCACACTTCCATGTAGCTAGGATTAAACTCACGCTTCACCACATCCAGATATTTTACAGCTTACTTCTACTTTCCCCTGCCTATGAGCTAGTATCATGCCAGGGACTGGCAGACTGGGGCTACAAACTGAAGAGAATCATTTTCTCTATTTCCAGAGCTACAATACATTTGTATAAACACATAACGGGAAAGTAAACAGAGCACAGTTTAGATCACTGGTGATAAACTTATCATATGTGGACTGCAGCGAGCTGATCTGTATCACTGAAAAGTTCAGACTGAGGCAGAAAGAAAATTTCTCTGTGACTGACTAGTTTGGCTACCTCTGCAATCGTCTAGGCAAGAGAAATGAAATTGCTGCATTTAATTTGGAGGCATAAAAATCAAATGGTCTTCAAGAGTTTGGAAGAAACAGGGTAAAGTCCAGGATTTACAAATGAGTACTGTTCTGGAAGAATGTTCTGCATTCATTTGTATCTGACAAAGTCAGTCTTATACAGCATAGTTATGAAAGTTCGTAACTTGACTATTCCTAAATTGAGGACTTATTCTATTAGGCAGAAAAGAATTAAACTCATTTCTTAGTCTGTTGCCTTGTGGAGGAGTCCCCATTACTAAAAAGCCAAAGTGGACTTGGAATATTTCAAGTTAATTTTAGAATACTGATTTTAGGATGCCTAAAAAGATTCAGTTATTGATAAATGTATGTGTTTAGAATCGGGAACACATTTGGGAATTTGTAACATAAATATCTGAACTCATGGGGATAAATGAGCTATTCCAGGGGAAGTATTATGAGATGACAGCCCAGAGAACACAGGAAAGTCAACATGACCGAGCCAGCCCTCCCCTAAAAGTGGTTTAAGGCAGAAGCAACAAAGGCCTGTTCAAAAGTCTAAGAAGTCTACATACTCTAACACCTGCCCTCCACAGGAGCAAACAGGTAATGAGCAGATAACAAGTGAAGAACCAGTAAACAGTTCTGCGTAAGTCACTCTTATGTTATGCCCACCCCCAGAAATATAGAGGGACAGGGAGCAAGTAGAGTGGCATGTAGGAGAACAGGCCCTTTACTTAGGGATAGAAGAACCTGAAGTGGGCTCATGAGAACGGTTAGGTATCATTGAGAAAGATCAATGAAGCGAGGTGCTAGGACAAAACCCAACCAACAAACAAGACTATGGAAACATTACTGTAGCATTGGTCTTTGAAAGAAAGAGGTTAAAGTATGTGTATGCTGATGGTTAAAAGACCACTCCTAAATCACAGCAAAACATCCTTGTTTAATTCAGCTGTGTGTTCAAACTAATGAAGAAAGGTCAAAAAACAAAATACCTTGAAGCAGAGAATACATTAGTGGTGATCAGAGCTTAGGGGAGGTTTGTACTTGTGTGAGGGGTAAAGAGGGAGAAAGGCTAAAAGGTAGAGTGCTAAGATTAGGAGGAATAATTTCAAGTGCTTAACAGCATAGTATGATGACAAGGTCAACAACTGATAATTTCAAAAAATGAGGTAGAGAGGATTGCAAATGATCCCAACACAAAGAAATGGTAAATGTCAGCGGGGACATATATACCAATAACCTTGGCCTGATCATCACACACTACATACATATATTGAAAAGCCACAGCACACCCCATAAACATATACATCATGTCATATAAAAGTACTGGATCGCTGTTTCATTGTATTTTTTGGAGACAGGCTCTTGCTATGTATTTCAGGCTGGCCTTGCACTCTTGAGTGATCCTCCCTCCTCAGCCTCCTGAGTGCTGGGATTATAGGCATATACCACTATGCTCAGCCTAAAAATAAAACTGTTGGAATGATGTGGGCCAAGTGGAAGTGGGGAGCCAAAATTTCTTGAGCAGTCAAACTATGTTCAAAAACAACTCTCCTGTATGCCAGTGAACGAATACCAGCACCTAAAATCCCTAAACAAAGCATAGTCAATTCTAAACTACTGAGTTCTATACTGCTTCTATGAGGAAACAAGTTCATCATGGCTTTTTTTATAGTGAATTTTAAGACTCAGTAGACCAAAATTCCATAAAAACGCACATTTTCATATGTTACATCACTACAAATCCCACTTAAAATATTACCATATTTTCTAATCTTTCTGGAGCTTATGTAAAACAGTTTGACTTGAATAAAAAGTTAAAAGTCCTCCAAAAGCACTTACAAGCTCACTTTTTCTTGGTATGGCAGGTAGTCATATCAGCACCCCCAGCACTTTGGGAAGCTGACACAGGAGGATCACAAATTTGAGCTTTGAGCCCAGACTGGATGACTTAGCAAGACACTATCAAAAAACAAGCAAACAAATCACCAAAAACCCACAATAAAAACAAAACCTTCATTTCTATAAACCACAAAATCAGTGGTTTTGATAATTTGTTATGTATGAAATACACCACACATTGTTTTGGTTTCTTGTCAGCTGATCCAACACAAGTATATATAATTAAGCAACACTCTCTTTTAAAAGTAAAAATCTCAACATACCTCTGTCTAATTTGGTCCAGTTTCTCGGGGTCTGTAATAACCACCTGTACACCAAGCTTCATTTTTGTTTTCTGCAGGCTGAAATCAAGGCAAGCAATTTTTGCATTAACTATTCTCTTGGGCATGCCTGTAAGAAATAAAACATCAAGTTCTTTTAAATCACATCATATAATAAATATATTACAGGATACACAACCACACACATTCAGATTGTAACTTTAGTGCATTAAATCCTGGAAGAACTTAATGGCACTATGAGGACACAATCTCTTTCAGTACACTCATCCTAACATTTTATGTATGCTCAAGTTACAAAAAGAAGTACTGCATGGGAAGTACAAAAAGAGTTGGCTTCAACTGTCATAATTTCACTCTGTGACAAAATCCCAGACTTACCCTGAGATCCCACCACACAGTTGAGAGCATATCCATTAATGAGCATGCTTTCTGTCTGACTTTTCCCATGGGCTTTCAGAATATTAACAGATTTGACTGGATAGCGAGACTGGCCCCTGGCATCAGTGTATTTAACAGCAAGGACAGCATCCACTACCATATTGGAAAAGAAATCACCATTTCTGTACCAACAATTAAGGATAACAAGACTTCGAACAGAGGGTACACATGAAGAGCGAGGGCAAGTCAAAAGGACTTTCTTTCAGCAATCTTATTCACCCAAGAAAAGAAGCACTGTTTGTGCTACTATTATCACTGTTTGTGATAATAACTAGTTATTATCACCATCCACACAGGCTATTTACCTTCCTGTTTCAGCCTAGAAATGCAGGGAAGGCAATAAGCAATTCAGTATGCCACTACTTATCTCTAACATAATTTTCAATTTGCAATAAATTGATATTTTAAGAAGAACTCAAATTGGGTCCAACCCCCAGGACCTTTTCCATTAAGAAGACTTTAAACTTCACTGGACGCCTGCCTTGCAAGCAGGCAGTCGTGAGTTCGATTCCCGGTACCAATAAAAAGGAAAAAGACCAAAAAAAAAAACTTCACTGGAATTTTTAAGGATACATTCCAATAATCTTGGAAGACATGGAAGTTCTAGCAGCATTAATCAGGCAATCTCTTCCAAGTTCATCTGTGTTAATAATGAGGTTTTCACTGATATAGCGCACTGCTTCCCTGTTGAAAGTGTGGAGAGAAAAATACAAGTTTGCTATTGAAACCTGTTGGCTCTATCACACTGCACATCATGTCAAAACCCTCTAGGAAATGGTCTTCTGTTCAGCCATTCCATATAGGAGGAGGGCACTGAAAAGCCCTCCCTCTTCAGATCATGGCAACTTTCATCTCTCCCATAAGCATAGCCACTAAAGTCTATCACAGGAGAAAATGTGGTAGTCAAATGGGAAAGATAATACTGGCCAATGTTTTTTTACCTTACATGTTACCACATGAGTTTTAAAACACAAGCTTTCAAGTTTAAAAGGACATCATTAATGAAGACATTAAGACCCAGACCGTTCACATATATATTACCGCCAATAAAATTTGGTTTACACACAAACTATCTTACTTGCAAGCAAGCTGATAGCCACTAATAACTGATGTGGGATGAATTTTCTGTTTGACTAGTTCATCTGCATTTTTCAGAAGTTCTGCTGCAATGATAACCTGTTGAGAAAACATTCACAGATCTAAATATGCCTAACACTCAACACATACAATGTGTGCATAAGAACACAACACCTATGTGAGTCGGCATTATTAACAAAAGTGTGACGGTGAGGAAAAGAGGAACAGAGTATTAAAAATAGCACTAAAGAGTCTGCATCAATGGAGAAAATCAGAAGTCAAACAAATGCTGTGACTAGTTCTACAATACACCAGATCACATCTATTACCAACAGAAACTATGTACTCAAGAGAAGCTATATTCTATTGGTGTGATCTCTACTATTTTAGGTTTTAGTTTAACTTAAAAATCCTTATAAGGATTACTAAGAAATAATTGTATAACTTTAAAAAATTCTTTTACCTTCTTTTGAACGTAATATCTGTACCTATGTATATCATATCATGGTGGCGAAATCCTTTCTTATATTCTTTTTTGTCATACTCCAATTCTGAGTCCCTGAGATTGCTTTTCAACATTTAAAATATAAAAATACCCTTTAAAAAGCTAGCAACATTTTTCTCCTTTAGCGTAATTAAGTACAAGTTTTTAGAAATGTCTCAATCTTAGATGGTGGTACAAAAAGGAAAACTTTAGAAACTATAAAAAAGCACTTCTCTGATGTATGAATATTGTCAGTGAGATGTTAAGCCTCCAAATTCTTGAAATCCAACATTTGAAATGAGGAAGATATTATTTAATTTCAAATTAGTTTCTTGCTAAAAGTATGCAAACTATAATCATAATTTTTCAGTTTCTTTCTGAATTTTTACCTGCTAAACAGTAGTATTTTTTTTCTCACAATGCTGCCCAACTTATTTCAGACCGAGAGTAAATGACTGACTCATAATTATTCCCTGATAAAACAATTCTTTAGCCACTGGCCCACCTACCACTGAGGTAGTTCCATCTCCAACTTCTTTATCTTGCAGATCAGCCAGCTCACAAAGAACTTTGGCTGCAGGATGTTCTACCTCCAGTAACTTCAGGATGGTGGCACCATCATTCGTAATGGTTACATCCTAGAAAGTATGCAGTACACAGTAGTCACATCAATCACCTTTGGGAACAAGATGCCCCCTAAATCAATACAGCCTCACTATGATGCACATTCAACTTTAACGTATTATGTCCCACTACAATGACTCAGAAAAACAAGTAATTTACTGAGCAAAAACAGTTAACAACATGATAGTTAAATGTACTTACACCAATATCGTCTACCAACATTTTATCCAAGCCAACTGGGCCAAGAGAACTTTTTACGATATTTGCAATAGAAGCTGCGGCCATAACTGCAGATCATCGGTGGAAAAATAGAAAAGAAATAACATTAGAAAACCTCACTGTTCGAAAGAGCAACCATTTATTTCAGCCTAAAGAACTAAAAAACATCCAACAGCTCTGAAGTTTCCAAAACTGTGTAAATGTGTCCTTTTTATTTAAAAAAAAAAAGTCACCTGCTAGAAGTCTATCAAAGGATGGTAGCAAATTTCACTTGGAGCATATCTGACAAACACATGAATTATTTGAAAGAGTTTACTGCTGCATAAAATATGAAAGGAATCAATCGCTAGTTACAATTTTATACTCTGCTTTGGAGGGGAAACAGTGATATCAACCTTTCCCTCACACTCCAGGCAGGTTTTGGTTTTTGTTTTTTGTCCTGCGAATAGGACCTGAGTTTCCTTGCTTCACAGACAAGGTATGTATCACGGAGTAACATACTCAGCCCTTACTTTAACTTTGAGACAGTGTCTTTTTTTAAGTTGCTGCCTACGCTGGCCTTGAACTTTACACAACTTCATTTTTTAACCTGAAAAATCTAATAGTCTTAAAGTGAAGGTGCTAAACGTTACTTAAAATTCAAGAGGAAAAAAGGCCTTTATCAAAAAAAATTAACTGCGACAGGTATCAGGAAATGTTAGTGTTTTCTAGGATGAAAAGGTCTCACTCATACTAATAGTGAATCTAGCATTTCTTTAACTCATTTCACTTTAAAACGTTATTCACAGTAGATTGTGCACTAAAACCGGATGAGTGAGCATCGAAGCACCCGACATGCACCGTACATAAGTGGAAAGGAGCAGTGCATGTCAGTGAATTAGGCGTTTGCCCATGAGATAATTGTGTAGGCGAACTCAAAACTTTTCTGGCTGAGGGTCCTAGGAAGAAATCTGAAAATTGGGAAGGATGCTGGGGGCGGGGAATGGTTGCAATCTGTGGGCGTGGCTGGCACGTGTCCTGGCCGAGCTGCGCTTTCCCGCCGGGACGCGCAGTGTCAGTACCGGCCCGAGCAGCCGCTCTACTCCGGGCAGGCGCTCTAGACGCACTGCACCCACGGGTGCGGCGGGGTGGGTGCCATGACCGCGGAATAAGACGGCGTCTGAACGGAACTTTGTTAAGGGCCTTTCGGATGTGAGACGTTAAGGTGCGAGGCCAGCAGCCTAAGAGAAACTGATACAGGTCTAGCCCTCCTTACCGTTCTGGGAGCGGATCGCTTCCCCCGTGCTGCGGTCCCCGAACACGGACAAAGGTCCCTCCATCTTCCCTGTGTAGTTCGCGTCCAATCTGACTCGGAAGGCTGACAATTACTACCTCCGCCCACGAGCCGCGCAGCAGCACCGAGAGCTGTGACAACGTGGAGCGATCAGAACAGCACCCCAGGGGCTGCTGGGAAATAGCGTGTTCCACTTCCTTCTTCCGGGCCTGGCCGCGAGGCACGGCGGGAAGGAGGAGAAGGGAGACTGCTGGAAAGGAGGAACCATAAAAATGGGCGGCTCAAAATATACATCCAATTAGAGACCAGAGGAGAAGGGCGCGAAAGAGGGAACCACGGGCAGCAGGAAATACTTGAATTCTCGCCTCAGGCGATTTTGCGCCTGCGCTGTTAAACTTTCTCGTGTTTTCTAGAAAAAGTCGTTTATGGGTAGAATTAGTTTCAACGTGTAATGTGTCATTTTAAGTCCTTGTTCAGGCAGGGTGGAACAGATCGGCTGTGCTTTGTTTTAGGACTCGAGGGTCTACACATGGCTGGACCAGGGAATGCTTTCGCTGGGGAGTATAGGCAAGTTTTTAGTTCATTGTAAACAACTGTTCTGGTTTAGATCTTTTTCCTTACGTGTTGTTTAATGTGAGGCTGTGAGACTAGAGGACCCAAACAATGCTGAAAGGACGCAGTAGGGTCTTAAGTGGCTAGACTCGAACCAACACCGTTTCCCAAACAGCGACCTTCCGGGAGTGTCTCTAGGAGAGCGGTTGGTTGGCTCTGTGCCTGGGTGCGTCTTTACGTAAGCGGTGATTGGCGGGGCCAGAATGACGGATTGCTCCTGTAGCCACTCGGCTCCAGAAAGTGTGACTTTCGTCTTTTTTGGCAGTTTGTGTCCTCTCTTCCCTGATTTAATATGGCCGAGGCTGGTTAATTGTTCTGTCTACAGTTAGGAAAAGAAGGCAGGCTTGCCGTTCTTTCGTCCGCCATTCTCTCAGCGATGGCGTTTTTATCACGGCTCTGGAAATTGCCAATTTGCAGAAATCCGGGTTATTTATCTGACTTCACATCTCAGCGTACTCCCCAGTGCCTGCACAGTAAGTGAATTTTGCAGTCTATTTTGTTTGTAGTTAGATTGAACCGAGAATCTTTGCATTGAGCTACATCTCCAGCCGCTTACCCCTTTTTGTTTTGAGACTAGATCTCTTTTAAGTCGCCCATGCTGGCTTGAACCTGCCATTTTCCTGCCTCAGCCTCTCAGTGTGCTGGAATTGTGGGTGTGCGCTCCCATGCCTGACTCTTGGAAACTGTTTTGTATTCAACGTAGGGGAAAGTAAACGTGTTAGCAGCTTTGAGATGACTGCAGCAGAACGTTACGTAGTAGGGTCTGTGATGACAACGTACATTTCGCCCTCCTTTCAAAGCCTGGAAGCTTGGGGACGGGAATAGTTAGAGCAAGTTTATATTCTATCTGTATTCGTCTTTTTTTTTTTCCTCTTAAGATCCATGTGGTCGTTTCCATTTCTTAGGGTGTCGGTTCGCAGCTTTTTCAACCAGCTCCAAGTCAGCGGTGAAGCCCAAAACAGAAACTGTGGAAAATGAAGCTGTTGCCCCAGAGTTCACCAACCGAAATCCCCGGAATCTGGAGCTCTTAGGTGTAGCCAGGAAGGAGCGGGGTTGGGGGACAGTGTGGCCCTCCCGCGAATTCTGGCACAGGTAATTCCAACTCTCTTAGTGATTGACAGCAGTGCACACAGCATCTTGTAGACTGTTTCTCCAGTTCATTCAGGGACTGTGCCAGGTTGCTTAGGCTTCTCTCACACAGGAAGTTGACACATGATGTGCAGAGGTGAGGCTAGCAGATGGAGAGGAACAAATTAATAGTGTGCTGGAGAAAATTTAGAAGATAATGCCAGAGTAGGAAACTGGCTGTCTACTAAGCCTTGTAGGACTTTTAAAAGGTGACTTTTTGGATACAGTTCAGTGACAGAAGCGCCAGCCTGGCTAGCATGAGGTCATGAGTTCGATCCTCAGTACCAAAAAAAGTGACTTTTAAAAAGCTGCTATCAGAAAGATAGGAAGAAGCCAAGTAATCTACTAGAAAAAGCGTTCTGTTTCAAGACAATGGCAATGAACTTAGAGTGAGAAACTGATGGGTCAGTGTAGTAGGATTCCTAAGGGCCAAGATTGAGTAATGTGAAATGGAAACAGAGGTGCAGGTAGGAATTGGGTCATGAGCTTTGCAAAGTAAGGTCAGCAGCCGAGACTTGTTTTTACTGCCTGTTAACTATGAGGATTTAAGGTTTGTGTCTGAGTGATCTGGGTTGGAAGCTCATTTTAGCTGCTTTGGGAAAACAAAATTTTAAAAGTAGGGAATAGAAAAAGGAAGACCACTGTGACTTGATTCTTAGGGACTTGAGATATTTTTGTTGATTTAGCAATCCTGGGGATGGAACCAAGGCCCTTGTGCATGATAGACAAGTGCTCTACCATTGAGCTTTGTGTCTAACCCCAAGACGGTGGTTTCTTTTTTTCTTTTTTTCACGTCAGATGGGTAATGTACTGAGGTCGTAACAAGGTTCAAAGGAGGCACATGTCATGCATAGAGCATGAACACCCAATCACGCTTATGAACCTGAGGATCAGATGGTTGTTTATTAATAACTTCATATTTGCCAAGAACTATACTAGGTTGGAATTTTATTTTTGCCACAAAATATGCTAGTTGCTTTAAATGTATTTTGTCATTTAATCCTTAAACCTTATTCTGAAGCAGGTATAACAGTTGTCACCATTTTTTAGAAGAGGAATTGAGGCTAAGGGACACATGATTAGTAAGTTCCAAAACTAAGATTCAAACACATTTTATATGATGATAGAGAAGGCCACTAAATTATTATCCTGTGGTATAGCATAGTGAAAGTATTCATCTGCTGCTTATTTCCTTGATGGAGATTTGTTAAAGTAGCATGTTAAGGATTATATAAAGTAGTAAAGGCAGATTAGAAATTGTTTAGCCAACATAGGGCCTATCCTTTTTGTTTGTTTGTTTGTTTTTTGTTTTTTCGAGGCAGGATCTCACCATGTAGTCCAAGCAGGCCTTGAACTTGTGGGTATCTTCCTGGTTCAGCCTCCTGAGTGCTGGAATTATCGGTGTGCACTATCCTGCACAAATCACCCAATATTCTTGCTAGTTATTGTGCTAGATGCAGAAAGTACAAAATAAAATTATGTCATATTTATCACAAAGAGTCTTAATACTTTCATAATGGAAAGTGGAATAGAAATAATAATAATACATTACAATTGCTGCAATACATTTTACTTAAAAGTTTATAGGGAGGAGTTGAAAAAAGAATAAACAGTTGACTTGAAATATTCTGCAACTTAAGTCTAAAATTCTTTTGAAACACTGAGCTTATTACTGAGACTAAATACTTGGATCATTTAAATACCTATAGACATAGCTTTTCCTGCCCTATCTGCCATACTAGCAGGAAATTTAGGGATATTTATTTATTTACTTTTTTGGTGCTGGGAATTGAACTCAGGACCTTGTGCTTGCCAGCAAAATTTAGGAGTATTAGTAGTGGAAAATGACCTTAGAGATTCTGAGGCTTACCCCTTAATTGAATATATTGTTTAAGATAAGAATCCAAAAACTGGCGTGTAGGTTGATGTTGGCTTGTAAGCAAAAAATTATTTTCATTTTTTTTTTTCTGAGACAGGATCTTGTTAATTGCCAGGTTGGCCAAACTCAACTGGAACTTATGAATCCCTGAGTCTCCTAGAGGGCTGGGATGGTGGACATGTGCCACCTTACTCATTTATTTTTATACCTCCTACCCCATACTGGAAGTTGAACTCAGGACTTACACTTGCCAGGCAGGCACTGTGTTGCTGAGCTGTATCCCTGGCCTTAGTTTTACATTTTTTAGAAAAAAAAGTTGAAAAACAATATTTTGTGACACTTAAAGTTTAGATAAAATTCAAATTTTGGTCTCCCCAAAGGAGATTTTCTTACTTACATTTGTTTAGCAGTACAGTGACTAAGTTGATCAGTATATACAGACTATGGCCTGAAAAGCTTAAAATGTTTACTATTTGGCCCTTTGCAAAAAACTCTTCCTTTAGGAGAGTGATTTTTACTGCATGTGGTGGCACATGCCTGTAATTGCAGCACTCAGGAGGCTGAGACAGAAGAACTGGGCTAACCTGGGCTACAAAGTGAATTCAAGGCCATCCTGAGCTGTGTAGTGAAACCCTGTCTCAAAAAGATAGTAAATAAAAGGCATGATTTTTTTTTTTAAACCAGAGCCACCAGGAAAACTCACATTGAAACCTAGTGCTTTTTTTTTTTTTTTTTTTTTTTGTCTTTTTCCTTTTTATTGGTACGGGGGATCGAACTCAAGACTGCCTGCTTGCAAGGCAGGCGCTTATGCCACTGAGCTAAATCCCTGGCCCCTAGTGCTTTTTTTATTTTGTGTTATTAATCTTTGTGAAGATCTTCTAATTTGAGTATTTAATTTGGGTTTATTTATTTATGTATTTTTTCATGTCAGGGATTGAACTCACAACCTCATGTTTGCCAAGCAGGCACTTACGCTGCTAAGCTAAACCCCCGGCCTTGGGTTTAATTTTTAAAAATGCAGAGGTAGGAAATGAGGCTTAGTGATAGTATGTATATGTACAAGGTCCTGGGTTTTGCCCCTAGCCCCAAACAAATAACCCTAAAAATGGGGGAAAACAGTCAAAGAGTTGTCACTTGGTATCCATGATGAATTGGCTCCAAGACTCCAGAAGGTGTCAAAATCTGTGATTGCTCTAGTACTTTATATAACATAGCATAGCACTTGCATGTAATTTATGCATATTTTCCTGTGACTTAAAACTATCTTGCCATGGTACTGTATTCCTGTTAATCCCAGAACTCAGAAAATTAAGGCAAAAGAAACACTGTAAGTTTGAGGCCAGTCTGGGCTACAAAGTGAGTTCAAGGCCAGCCTGAACTGCATAGTGAAACCCTGTCTCAAAACAACAACAACAAAACTCCAAATATCTTTAGACTACTTATAATACCTGATACAAAGTGGAGATGATGGTACACATCTGTAATTCTAGTATTTGGGAGGCTGAGACAGACGGATTGCTGCAAGTTCCAGGCCATCCTGGGCTACAAGTGAGTTCAAGCAGCCTGTACTATGAAGTGAGATCCTGTGTCAAAAAACTAAAAACAAAAATAAACCACCTAATGCAATATAAATGCCTTGTAAGTAGTTATTATACTATACTGTTTAGGGAACAGTAACAAAAAATTATACATGTTCAGCAAAAATGCAGTTTTTCTCCCAAGTATTTTCTTTTCTTTTCTTTTTTTTTTGTCTTTTTCCGTTTTATCAGTACCAGGGATCGAACTCACGACTGCCTGCTTGCAAGGCAGGCGCTTATGCCGCTGAGCTAAATCCCCAGCCCCCTCCCAAGTATTTTCTATCTGTCATGGGTTGAATCCAAGGATATGGCATCCACACATAGAGGGTCAAGTGTGTTTACATATGTTATAAAACCCCAAGTGGAATATAAGTTTCTTGTGTATCTCTCTAGAAACACACATAAAAAATCATAAATATATTTTTAAAATTATAAATCTTACCACATCATAAGCATCATTCTGCAATGTCCTTTTCCCAGCCCTGTCTCCTCCAGGCATTCACTTGAAGATCCTTTGTGGTTAAGAGCATTGGCTCTGGAGCCAGACTTTGGGCCTTAACTCCTAATTGCATTACTGAGTAGTTGTATTGTCACCCAGTGTACTTTACTTTGCTCTGTTTCTGCAGTGTAAAGTGGAAAAATGAGATTGTTTAGAAACCCGAGATATAACCTTTAAACAATTAAAACAAGCATGACGGCATTGTAAGTGTTTGGTGAATAGCTATTGCCATAAAGTCCTACTGTAGAATATAATTTTGTGAATATTTCTAGTTAACTGGCTCCCTGCTGATGATTATCTTTTATAGTGTTGCAACAAGTTGCTTGGACAGTGCATTTTATTACTGACAGCAGGTATATTTTCATGAATGTATAAGTTAATATTTTCCTTTCCTGTGAACACTGTTCAAATTCTCTGTGGAATGTGGTGGTATATACCTGTAATCCTAGCACTTAGAAAGCTGAAGCAGGAGACTGTCGAAAGTTCCAGGTGTGCCTGGGCTATGTAGTGACTTCAAGGCCAGCCTGCACTGGCATAGTGAAACCCTTTCTCAAAAAGCCAAATCCTTTACCTACTCTCTTTAAGTTATTGGTCATTTCCTTATTGATGGTAGAGGTATTTTATGTAGTGTGGAAATTAACCCTCTGAAATATATATGTTTAACATACTTTTTCTTTTATCATTGCTTGCCCTTTTTTTTCTTCTTTTTTTGGTAGTTTTGGGGATTAAACTTGGGCCTTGTTCATACCAAGCAAGCCCAAGGTATACCTAGAGCTTCATTGCTTGTCTTTTGACTTTATGTCTTATTTTCCTATCATGCAGAAAATTGTATCTATCTTGTATAAAAGCTACATGACATGTTTGGGTCACTTAAATAGACTTACTTACTTTGAGGTTATTTTTAAAAAAACATATTTCCTTGTATTCCTGTAATTTCAGTTTTTACATTGAAATCTTTATTTTAGTGCTCACTGGGAAATAAAAGCATAAAGTATATATATATCTGGCACACAGTAGTTTAGCTCTGCCTCTAACTTCTTTGAAGTGTGTATGTAAGTAAGTAAAACTCAGCCTTTCAGAAAATACCAAGTGTCTCTGATACTTGAAGTTAACTGAAATATTTGGTTTATTCTTATTGAAGATAGTCTTATAATCCCAAGTAAAATACACTCAACTTTGACATTTTGGAAAATATTTAGGCATTTGTTCCTGTGTTTTAGTTTAACTTTAGGATGGATAGATTGTTTTAGGATTTTATTCTCTTCTCATCCTATTTAGGTTGCGAGTTATAAGGACTCAGCATCATGTAGAAGCCCTTGTTGAGCACTGGAATGGCCGCGTTGTGGTGTCAGCATCTACTCGTGAATGGGCAATTAAAAAGCACCTTTACAGTACCAGAAACGTGGTAGCCTGTGAGACTATAGGACGGGTGCTGGCACAGCGATGCTTAGAGGCAGGAGTCAACTTCATGGTGTACCAGCCAACCCCTTGGGAAGCCGCTGCAGACTCGGTATTTTTGTTTTCATGTACTCAAAGGTTAAAGGGCATCGGAAATCTGTGGGTACAGCTTGGTGGAAGAGCACTTACATAGCATACGTGAGACCATGGGTTCCATGTGCACACTGTAAAATAAGTTTTAAAATACATAAAAGGTACTTTGTTAATTCTTAATATGAAATACCTACATGATAGTTTCCAAGTGATTTCTATTTGTTAGACCCTAGTTAGACCCTATGACAGCATTATTTCATTTAATTCTCACAGCAACACATAGAGGAGGGACTAGTATTCCCATTCTATACATAAGTAAAACAGAGTCAGTGTGTGGTGGATTTCAAGTTCAGGGTGCCTGATAGCCCACAACGTCAGCTGTTGCACTTCCTGTTCCCATGCTGGCATCCTGGTCACATATTTTAAAACACTGCAGAGTGTTTGTCAATTCCCTTTTTCTTACCTAGGTCATTTTTGAGATCACTTTCTGAAAAAAACCAGTGTAGCCTGGGAGGTCAGCAAGAGCAGATCATTTGTTTGTTTCATTTTCTCTTGGAAAGTGAATTGATTTATTTTTAACTTTCTTGTTTGCTGACTTAATCTTTTCTTTCTTTTTTTTTTTTTTTTCCCCTGATCTTTAAAACCAGATAAAACGCCTACAAAATGCCATGACAGAAGGTGGTATAGTGCTACAGGAGCCTCGGAGAATTTATGAATGAAATAGAGACATTGTTTTGTAAATATAAAACTGTTGGCTACATTGGCCATTGAAAGAAAGCATCTGGAAGAAAAAGCATCTTGGAGTTTCATAACAATAATGTAACAGTGGGAAATTATTTGTCGTTAAGCTTGGTTTGTATGTGTCTGTATGTGGTTTTTTTTTAATCAATGGCTAAATTCTTCCCCATTTTTGGATATGAAACACATATCTAAGGAAAACATCAGCAATTATAGCTTTTAAAGGAAAAGTAAAAATTTGTAAGATAGAAAATAAAAGTATAATAACTTCTGCTGATATGAAATTTCTTGCCTGTGACCAAGGGTGAACATTTAATGTCTATAAAATGGACATTACCAAGGATGGCTCATGGTGAGGGGGGGGTCTCAGTAAAAGTGTTGTTTGCTGTTCAAGGTGTAGGGCCATTTTTTTTTTTTTTTTTTTTCTTTTTGAGACAGGGTGTCACTCTGCATTTCAGGTTGCCCTTGAACTAACTTTGTAGCCCCGGCTGGCCTTGAACTTGAAGCCATCCTTATGCCTCAGCATCCTGAGTGTTGGGATTACAGGTGTGGGCCACCATGCCCAGCCATTTTTTATTTTTAAACAGGAGATGTCTGTCAGTTACATTTAGAAACTTGATATGTGAAGTTAAAGACAAATGCTAAGCTCCTATGGCTCTTGATTCCTGCTGCAGATAAGCAGATGAAAGAGGAGATCCAGCAAGAACTGCGAATGCACGTGGAAACGGAACAAAGATAGTGTGTGGTTAGCCATGAAGCAAGAATTTTAATTAGATCAGGAAAGGTTGAAAGGTACTTGGGAGATGTGTATCATGGCGGCCCTGTGAAATTAGTTGGTTAAATTAAAGTACATTGTTAACTTGATAAATGTGAGGAGTCTACGGCCATACCACCCCGAACGCGCCCGATCTCATCTGATAAATGTGAGGAAGAAGAGTGTGTAAGCATTTAAGCTAGCTTTCAGAGCATTGTTTTTTCAAAATTTTAAATATCCTGTTTATATATTTATATAGAAATGAAGGGGCTGAGGATAAAGCCCAGAGGCACAGCACCTGTCTGGCAAGCGGCAAGGTTGTGAGTTGAATCCCTGGCATCAAAAAAAAAAAGTAGATTTTTGTTGATAATCTGATTATTCAGTATATTATTTTACAAAGATGACACAACTCATGCTGGTTTTGGCAGTAAGTACTAACATTGGCATGCTGCAGAGAGGGTTAGCATGGCCCCTGCACATAGATAACACAAGTCTATACAGAATGTGCTGGGAGTGGCTAAAGCTGGAGTTGGATCATACATTCAGGGCTGGAGCAAGGCTGATCTCAAGAGCAAGGAGCTCCTGAGGCAAACCATATAAAGAAGCTGCTGCGGTCCACAGAACACCACTGCCTTAGGTTGCCTGCATGCAGACTGCTAGCAAATGGGGTGTCATGTGACACTAACTGCCAAATGTATAAATACACAGGTTAGGCTGCTTGAGTGAATCCTTTCTTCCCATCAGGAGAGAGGGCTCCACCTGATCACAGTTTTCTGCATCTTGCCTTTATTTCCCCACCTCACTGCCCTTTATGGTCCTTACCCTGGGAAGTTTGAGAGCCACCTGGGCTGCAGCAGAATGGTGCCTGAACAGGCACCTGGGCCATACAAAAAATTTGTCAGGTAACAGGTGAGGACACCTCTAATGTGCACACAAAAGGGAGAGATGTATCAGTATCCTCATTATTGAGTCCAAAAGTGTATTAATATCCTCAATATTGAGTCCATTAATATAAAAACTGAGCTTCATTCCCATGTTTACTTTCTTTTTTAGAGTGGGATTAGAGTGTTGATGGTCATTAGCTTATTGCGATGACCACTAAAGATTTGGCTCAGAGCTCTGTTTTAAAGTCAAGTCCTGAGTGATAAAAAGGTGGCGAAACAATAGCCATCCTGATAATCTTAACAGCCACAAGCAGTAATTCCCACCTTTTCAGTTCAAAAAAATTTTGCTGTGTCACAGATTAAAACTTCCATTTCTCAGGAAATAAAGCCATTTTTTTCTCTCTCTCCCTTATAGTTGGCATTTTAAAAAGCCAGATGGGCAGGGAGGGTCCATAAAGAGTTTTCAACATATCTACCCTGTTACTAAACTTCAAGTACCCATAACCCAAGACAACTTATACATCTTCATAAAGCTGTACCTTTTAAGTCCCTGAAAAGAATTAAGCTGCTGCTACCACAGCCCTTTTTACATTGGGTTTAATAGAGCTCCTGAGACAACAGATTATGGCCTCAAATAATAAAATAGCATGCTTTAAGTCCAGGAGATTATTTATTGTAAAAAAAATTTTTTTAGACTTGTGCGTGCATCAGACTGAGTTGCTGCTCATAATACAACCATTACAAAAGATGTTAACCAAAAAAAAGTGCCTTTGCCGCCAAATAATCAACTTACTTTTAAATAACAAACATATAAATGAATTAAAATAGCTGCTATAATGACTTAGAAAAAAACTTCCTTCAAAGACTAAAACATCCCTTGATTTAACTTCCATTTGTCAGAGTCCTGATGAAACTTTTTCCAAGATTTTGCAACATGCTTTTTTGCAGGCTAGTAAAAAGATGATAAGCAACACAAAGGCCAACAAATTAATGTTCAACAACTGGCCTTTAAAAATACAAATAAATGGTGTAGAGATGCTTTAAGAGCCCATAAAAAACAGGCTACACTGTCAGATAATACAGGTTTTTACGGATACTGGCTCCAGGTATGCCAAAGGGGCTGCCTTGGCAGCTTCTATCACTCAGGTTATTCTTCCACAGCCTAAAAAAAGTTACTTGTTTCAGCTGTGGGGACAAAAGGACAAAAGCCTAGCGGCCCTGCCTCCTGTATGCCATGGCAACCCATATACAGAAAGGCCATGGCTACAGAGGTGGCACAGTGAAAAGCAGGAGCCCTGGGCACCTAAACACAAAATAGAGTTTTTTCTACACTGGCCCAGCCTATATGAGTGTATTTTGTAAAACTTACAAAAAATATTTTGTAAAACTTTTCGTATTTCCCTCATCATGAAAATTCCTTATAACCCTCAAGGTCAAAATACTGTTAAATGTGTTCACCATACACTCAAAATTTAACTACAAAAACAAAAGGGGGACTCCTACAAGAAATTTATACCTCATAATAGACTTCACTTGGTAGATATACTATTAACTTTTAAAATCCTACCAGGCATGGAACTACAGCAGCAGAAAGACAATTCAATCAGGTAAAGAAAAAAGCTAAGAAAGGACCTTTGGAAAGATCTAGGAAGGGACCCCAGCCCACTACTCTCTTGAGGTCAAGGGTATGCGTGTGTCTTTCCAGAGAATGCTAAATCACCTATCTGGGTGCCAGAGCATGATGCCCAGCTGTATCATGGACCCAGACCCACAGAAAGAGTTGATTCCACCTTTCAAAAAGCTGAAAGGATTTGACCCAGGATGTTCAGTAGATGGTAACAAAAAATAGAAATTAAAGGTCTGAGTAGGTGACACATATAGAGATAAATATTGAGCTAAAATTTTCATGAAAGAAAGGGACACAAAGGTTACTAATCTTAAACATTTATTGATTATAGAGAAAATATTTCCAATTTTTTTTTTTTTTTTTTTGTACTGGGGATTGAACTCATGACCTCATGCTTACCAGGCAGGTGCTTAAACCACTGAACTAAATCCCTGGCCTTCCTTCCAAATTCTTAAGAAAGCTTTGCTAATTGACCTATAACAAAATCTGACTAGCCTATTTACAGTTACAAGTTCCTAAAATTGTAAAAAAAGTTAAAATTCGATTTGATCAAAAATGTATTTGAGTGCACTCGGATTTTGTAAGAAATTTGTCTGTTTATCCAATCTGGTAAGCTGTGTACTTGTTTCTTTGTCATATCCGAGAATAGTTTTTTTTTTTTTTGAGCTAGAATTTTTTCCTTTTTGGCTCATTTGTTGATTATGTAATTTGATTCATAGGTTTAAAAAGCATATTTCTGCCAAGGTTAAAACTGGTCAAAATGATGCTAAAATTGGTTGTGTAAATATAATGTATATTGTTTATGTATTATGACTTGAGTCTCTCATTTGTTCAAAAATAATGTGTAAAATGTTGTGATTGGGTTTTCGTAAGTCATCAAAAGTTATTAATATAATTAAGCAAAAATCCCTGGGGATGTGGAAAGACTATTAGATAGGACTTCAATTAATAGAAAAGCAGCTGCCTCAAAATTATCCAGTCCTTGTTCATTAGTAGAAAGCCCCAGTGACCTCCATAGCCTTATGGAAAACATGCTAATAAATGTTATTAAACACATTATTGTGGTATGTTTATGTTGGTCATCATCAAAGGGTTAAGTTTTCCAGATAGTAAGATGTTTGAGTTAAAAATGCTCTAATATAAAAAGTTTTTATATAGCTAACTTTGTGGTATACTAAATGTATTCATGTCTCCAGATGTACAGGTCTTCCAAAACATAAAACAGGGATTGCTTATGGTAAAAGACTATTCTTTTACATACAGACCTCTGCCTTTAACAAAAACTCATGAGATGTGTATCCCACTAAAGGCCAACAAGTTAGGTAAAAACTTGTTATGTAATTAGATAGGGATGATTGACTAAAACGTTTTATGTCAAAAAATGCAGGTGTGTTACAAAAAGTCATCATGATTCATGCTACAATATTATATATGGTTTTAATTTCTAATTTTATGTATGAAGCATGTAACTGTTAACACTTTACAGAGATTCAAATACTAAAACATACATGGTTAAAAACATTTCATGTTCTACGGTGCTTGATATTTAGATAAGATAGTAGTGTTAAACTTACTGCCTCTATCACACTGTAATGTTATCAATCTTCTAGATGTTCGATAACAGGTTTGGAAAACAAAAATTAAAAAAATAGATGGGCTAAGGTGACAGCCAGTATTTTGGCCCTATCCTGCCAAAGTCAATAAGGACCCAGGATATGAAAAAAACCTCTGCTGCGACATCCTATAACTGTGAATCCCTGGTCTTCTAACCAAGGAGATTTTAGAGCCACCCCCAAAAAAGTGATCAATAATATATAGGAGAGTCACCCCTGCCAAAAAAAAATAATCTTCCAGGCTTTCACAGAAAGCAATTTGGTCAAGCAATGGCTGTGACTCATCCAGATGGCTGACAATGACAAAAAAAACTAAAGAGGTGCTGTACATGGTTCCAAGATAATTCCCAAAGAGACTTAACTAACCTTGATAAATAGCAAAAGATTAATTTCAACACGAGTCTCACTTTAACTTGGTCTTAAATATCTTAAAAAAAATCATCTACAGCTTTCTCCAAACATAGCTCTTCCAACTTCATTTAAACACCCATTAGCCAGGTGTGGTGAATGTCTGTAATCCCAGCACTTCGGAAGCTGAGGCAGGAGAATAGTTGCAAGTTCGAGACTAGCCTGGGCTACAAAGCTGAATTTAAGACTGAATTGTATAGCAAGACCCTGTCTCAAAACAAAACAACATTAATTACAACTGCAAAAACAGAAAAGAGATGTCAGGAGTGGCTGAAACTGGAGATGGACCACACGTGCAGGGCTGGAGCAAGGCTGATCCCGAGAACAAGGTGCTCCTGGGCAAGCCGCATAAACAAGCAGCTACAGTCCACAGAACCCCTAGGCCTTGGGTTGCCATGCATGCCGACTGCTAGGAAATGGGGTGTCACAGGTAGCCTGGTTGAGCAGTTCCTTTTCTCCGATCAGGAGAGCTCCTCCTGATACCAGATTTCTGTATATTTGTCTATTTCTTCACCTTCCTGCTGCCCTTCAAGATCTTCTCCCTGGGAAGTTGGAGAACCACGTGGGTTTTGGCAAGTATGCACCAATCTTATAAAAGGTGTGACTGATTGTGAGGCTTCAGCATTGATATTTTAGCAACTCCATACTAAATATCCCCTAATAAATACCCCACTGGAGGCACTTAGAAGCAGATTCTTAATTTTTTTTCTTCCTGCACTTTAAATATTGTTTGGAGTGCCATTAACCTCTTCAAATAGAAGTCTGGAATTCAAGGGAAGGTTTGAAAGGAAGATCATGGACTAGTAGTGACCAGAATCACCTCTAACCTGTGCTGTACATAGGGATTTCTGCCAATAGGAGCGTAATCCCAGGGCAGAAAGGACGTCCTCAATCCAGCAGGTGGCTTTTGATTGCATGCACTTTTCACCTTTGGGCACACTGTTAAGCTTCAGACCACTGGCAGGTGTGGGGTGGGGGTGGGGCCTGGGCGAGCGTGTGCGAGCCCTTTAAGACAGGGCGAGGCGGAAGTGGGGAAGTTCCGTAGCACGCGGCTGCCTCCATGAGCCGCCATGGACGTGGGTGCCGACGAGTTCGAGAAGAGCCTCCCAATGCTGCAGAAGCTCCTGCGGGAGGCGGACTTCGTGGGTAAAACGCGGGAGAGGGTGGTTGTGGGCCGCTAGCCTGAAAGAGAGCCCTGAAAAGGAATCAGAATCCCTGCTTGGGCCCCTACGCAGGGGGCATTAAGCGCCAGTGGCGCCCAGAGCTCCTGGGCTCTTGGTGGCCGCAGCTACCCTGTGGTCCAGGGTCATCTCATGGCCGGTCCTGCTTTAGTTTGCTCCATCTCCCATCCTGACCAGTTGGCTTCTTGAGTGCCAAGTGTGAATACGTGGGCCATCTGCAGCATTTAGGAGGTGTGATCAAAACATACGGTGAAAATCCAAAACGAGATCATTACAGTAACGTGCATCGCTGTTAATCCCCTCTGGTTACTCCCCTCACTGTGAACATACATTCTTTCCTTCTTGCCACTTTCTAAAGCAGTTCTGGGAGTCCTTTTCCAGGGTGTCTTTACTTGGCGCTATGGTAGCTGCCTCAGTATCCAGAATTGATTGAAAACGTTGACCTTTCTAAGTCACTTTGAGTCTAGGGAAGAGCTAGAAGTCTCCCAGGTGCCCTATCGGGTGAATAAGATGACTGTGGACCCCCTGACTTTTTTTTTTTTTTTCCTAATGAGCCTGCCTTTCTTTTGGATAGCATTTGGCAGCAACATTCACCATATATGTATGTCTCTGTCTGTATCTATACACAAAGAATTGTAGTAATTTTTATTTACTTTTTTTTTTTTTTTTTTTTGAGGCAGGGTCTCACTGTGTAGTTTAGGCTGATTTTGAACTCACTGTGTAGCCCAGGCTGGCCTTGAACTGACAGTAATCTTCCTGCCTCAGCCACCTCAGTGCTGAGATTACAGGTGTGCACTACTATGCCCACCAACACCATTTGAGTACCCCTTATTTAGTGTAGAGTCCCCACCAACACCATTTGAGTACCCCTTATTTAGTGTAGAGTCGTGGCATGCTGGTACCTGGAGACCGTAATTTTTGCCTCCTTTGCAGGCCTGGACATAGAGTTCACTGGACTTCGTTCTAACCTGTCCAGATTCCAGCAGATCAGGTAAAGCTAAAGCTGCCTAGATCCCAAATGGTCCTAGTGTTTCCTAGTTGCTGTAACGGGGAAAAAAAAAAAAACTCCACCTGATCTGACTTCCTTCCTTATGGTATGCAATACATCTTTTTTCACAGCCTTTTTGATTTGCCATCTGACTGGTATCTAAAGACTCGACAAAGTATTCAGCAATTTTCAATCTGTCAAATTGGTGAGTGTAACATTCATCTGTTTGAGTTGTGGAAGAAAATACTTTATTGTCTAGCGGTATGTAGTGGTGCATGCTCATAATCCCAACACTTTGGCTGAAGTAGAAGGATCTCAGCAAGTTTGAGACCAGCCTGGGCTACATAGTGAGTTCAAGACCAGTCTGACTCTGTCTCAGAAAAACCTTTGTCTTTGTTTTTTCTGTTGTTAAAAATTGCTTTCAAAGACATCAGGTATCCTTTTGTATTATGTTTATGTGACCAGCACTTTAAAGCAAGTGAAAAAATTATCAGCATTGTTTTCTGTGCCTAAATAAGAGTAAAGAAATAATCACTATCACCTGTTCCATCTTTCAAGTAAAAACATATGTAGGTTTTTGGTTTTTTTGTTGCTGTTTTTTGATGCAGGATCTCACTATGCAGTACAGTCTGGCCTTGAACTTGCTTATGTAGCCCAGGCTGACCTTGAGTTTGTGGTAATCCTTTTGCCTCAGCCTCCTTGTTACAAGCATGCACCTCCATGCCAATTTTTTTTTAAAAAGAAAATTTATACAAGCAAAAGACTATGAATACTTTGTATCTTGGGGGTTTTTTACTCCCATTAATGGGACCTGATGAGCCTGGAGATACTTCTCTATCAGCACATTCAGACTTGTTCATTTTTTGTTTTGTTTGTTTTTTGGTGCTGGGCATTGTATCGGAGCCTTACAAGTTCTAGACAGACATTTTTTTGAGCTACATCCCCCAGCCCAGACTTGTTCAGTTTTAATAGTTGTATACTATTATGAACTGAATGTGTCTGTTGACTCTTAGTAATTCATACTTTCATTTAACTATCTGTATAGAGTTAAGCAAACTTCATTGACCAGCTTGGAATTTGCGTATTACTGTACTTTTGTGAATATTTGCATTATGCATATTTCTAGCGGTGGAATTGAAGTTCCAAAGTTTGTCCATTAATAATGTATATTGGTTGAGATGTAGCTCCATGGTAGGGTATTTGCCTAGTGTGCTTGAGTCACTAGGCAAATTTCCAGTGCTGCCAAAAACCACTTTTTTTATGTACGTTGCCAAAGTACTACTGTTCATTGTAACCATCCACAATTTCTTAATACTAACAATAGTGAATGTACCCATTTACCTAACAAATACCTAGTGTTACTGATCTGAAAATTTTTTGCCCACTTAATAGAGAAAAAAAAATATAATTGCTATTTTGACTTATAATACAGGACCAACAATTTTTTTGGGGGGGATGCAACAACTTTTTCTGTAAATGGTTAGAAGGCTACAGCTCAGATTTTGCTGGAAATGTGATTTGTCATTTTTTTTTTTGGTCTTTTTCCTTTTTATTGGTACCGGGGATCGAACTCATGACTGCCTGCTTTCAAGGCAGGAGCTTATGCCGCTGAGCTAAACCCCCAGCCCCTGGAAATGTGATTTGTTACAACTACTCAGTCCCGCCTTTATGAAATTGGCAGTTGATTGTATATAAATCATTTATCATGACTATTGTAATAAAATGTTATTTACAAGATAAGCATTGGCCGCATTTTACAGACCTCTTTTATATGAGTGACATTGGACATCTATTCACAAGTATATATGTATTTTCCTTTTTTTTTTTTTTTTTTGCCTTTTTGATACAGGATTTCACTATGCAGTTCTGGCTGGCCTTGAAACTCACTTGTAGTACAAATTGGCCTTCGATTCAGTGATCCTCCTGCCTCTGCTTCCTGAGTGCTAGGATTAAAAGTGTGCACTGCCATGCATAGCTATCCTTTTGAGTCTAGTCCTCTGTTGTTTTTTTATTGTTTATTTTTCTTTCTTTCTTTCTTTTTTTTTTTTTTTTTTTTGGTACTGGAAGTCAAACTCATAACCTTGTGCTTTCCAGGCAGGTGCTTATGTCACTGAACTAAATTCCCAGTCCGTGTTTATTTTTCTTAATTTTATTTTTCATTGAAAAGTATAAGAAACAATTCTTATGTTTCTGTTCTCTCATTTTAAAATATTTTTCACTGTGAGTATGGTCTTTTTTAGTAATAGGCATTATAAACAGTTAAGTTTTTAATTTCTACTTTTTGGAGTTTCTGCTGGTCATTTTTAAATTATGAACATGTCAATTTAAGATTTCTGTGTTTGAAGAAATGACCACATTTATATTTTAGTAATTTCAGTGCAGATTTCATTTTGACAGTTATCATACTTGAAGTCTGTCCTTTTGCTCTTCAAGAGGACATTCTCTTGTTCTGCCATCCACAGAGTATGTGTATACAAAGCACCGCTGGAAATGTTTTGTCTTTGGTTAACTTCAGGTAGCTGGTCTTTGGCAGTCATTACTTGTGTTTTCGTTCTTCTAGGGTTGTCTGTATTCTCCAGCATTGAAGGAGAGTCAAACATGTATGTATGCAGAGCTTTTGCACAACACACAGTTCTTGCCCATGCGTGTTCTAAGCGGCCCCTCCAGGATGTTCCCGGGCACCTGGGTCGCTGTGCCTTAGGTCTCTGTGTGCTCTCCTCCTCCTGGCTCTTCACTCATTCTGTCCTCTGCAGACTCTCACTTACCCTCCTCGGTTTTCTTCAAGCCTACCTTTCCTGTGGGCCCTTTCCTCACCACCCCTGGCCTGCTCTTAGGTGCTCCTGCTCTCCCTTCAGTGGTCCCTTGTGCAACTTTGTGAGAGCAGTTTGCCCACAAGTTCTGGCCGTCAGGAAGGATCTGATGGGCATGGGCCAGTGGTTAGGGCCTGCGTCTTCTGGTGTTTTCTGTTTGCTTTGTTGCTGTGTTTTCTGTGGTGACCTCATGTCATCTACACTTAGCTGGGGTGGCTTTGGCTCCTACCAGTGGAGGGGGACGGAGTGGCAGGGAGACATTGTTGAGGGCCCTTCTCTGTGGACTTGAAACACTACACTGTAGGTGTTCAAGCTCTTCGTGTATTAAAAAAAAAGAGCCCATTGAAATCTGCTCTATGAGCCAGAATGGGTTTTTTGATTTGTTTTTAATTTTTAAAGCAATTTTTAATTTAAAGTACTTTTGAACTGCTTCTACTCTCCTTATGTTCTCCTTTTCCTTTTTTTGTTTTAAATAGGTATATAGCCCATTCGTGTAACTTCTTTCTCTTTCCTACAACATTTGGCATTTTGGACACAGAATTCTCTTTCCAGGCATCCAGTGTTCAGTTTTTGAATCAGTATGGCTTCAACTATAACAAGGTACTGTGTTCGAGGGGAGGCAGCGTGTTCAGGGCGGCATCTCTCTGGCCACACTGCCTGCTCCTGCCTTCTTTCTTACTTGTTTGTGGGAGACAAAGTGCTTTCCTCTGCTCTGCTGCTCCTTGCCTTGGAGGCTACCTCTCACTTGTTTTCTTCCTGTTTTTAGTTTCTCAAAAAGGGAATCCCATATATGAATGAAGAGCAGGAGAAGAAAATTAAGCATAGTATCCTGACAGGGAACTGGAAAGTTCGCAGGTAGGGCTTCCTTCTTGCCCGTCTCTTCGTTGCCGTGTTTTCTGTGTTTCCTGTGGGTTCAGCTGGTTCTGGGAGTGTGGCGACCTTGTGCACTCCACACTTTGGCCACTTGTGCTCCGCCAGGCCTAAAGGTCTGTGGTGTGAGGGACCTGTCTGCTGCAGAGGTAAGACATGGCCTCCTGTGTATTTTGTCCTTTCATCTCTCATATGAACTGCCCACTGCTTTAAATGGGGTTTCTGGTGTTTCAAAATGAAAAAAAGAGAAACCCTTAATTTGTGACTCAAAGAAATAGTTTATTCCAGTGCCAGGTTGAGAAGAAACAACTCTCTTGGACATGCTGTAAGATGTTATGCTGGGCTCCAGCCTGGCCTTCTGAGGGGTTGCAGGGCTACTCACAGATGACCTTGACATACCAGTTATGCAGGGCATAGGCTTTGGATTGCTCCAGCCCAGCATACCTAATCCTGTGTGGGAGACGCATGTGTACCCCCTTTATCTTTGCTCCCGTGCTGGGCCTAAGCCCTGCAGCTTTGTGCTGCCTGTTCAAGAGTGACAGGAGAGGACTACAGTATTGGGTGGCAGATGGAGCCAGGAACTCAGGGTCCAGGCAGCCAGTGCTATCAACTAACTGTTGGTTTTGAAGAAGTCATTTAAGCTCTTCAGGCTTTAGATTTTTTTACTTTCCTGAGAAAGGAATAAATTAGACAGCTTTTAACTCTGAAATGGGATTCACAATTTGGTCCAGATAATGATCTTGTGTAATGTTCAGACTTTTTTTCCCCCATCCTTGGTGCCAGTTTTCATATATAAATACAGAGTTTTTTATTCTTTTTGGTAAGGGAAAATCTATTTTTTAAATTTTATGTCAGTATTGGGAATCAAACTGAGGGTTGCTTTACCACTAAGTTAGCCAGCCCTTTTTAAAATTTTTATTGATATAGAGTCTGGCTAAGTTGCTAAGTTGCCCAGGCTAGCCTAGTTGCAGTCCTCCTGCCTCAGCTTTCTAAGTAACTGGGATTATACACATGTACCGCAAGGCCTGGCAGCAGTTTGAAGTTTTATTTTTATATTTTTGGTGGTTTGAGACAGATCTTACTGTGTAGTTCAGGCTCGCCTTGAACTTACTATGTAGCCCAGGCTGGTCTTGAACTTGTAATGATCCTCCTACCTCAGCCTCCCAAGTGCTGAGTTTTTAGGTATAACACACTGTGCCTGGCTAACAATTTGAATTTTTAATCTCCCATTATTTTCAAAGGTTGGAGTGAGATCTTAATTTCGCAGAATATTCTTCTCTGATACAGGAGAAGGTTTACCAAGCCCTTGCCTTTCTCCTTTGTTCCAAGCTGGTGTGTACTGTACCCCTTCAGAAGCTCTGTGGAAATGCTTAGTACTGGCTATAGCCTTCTTACATTTTATTTGTACCATCAGCAGAGCAGGCAGGAATTGAATGAGTTTCTGGGAACCTGCAATTAGATAGGTCAAGCTTTGCATTCCTACTACATGGAAAGACCTAGAAAACAGTTGACCTTTTTGAATCAGTTTTTATGAGATTACAATAATAAAATCAGCAGGTCCTGAAACTTTTCTTGTTAAGATTATTTTAGGATTCGTGGGGTGGTTTTCTCCAATGTCTCCACTCTTATATGTCCTTTTTTAGTACTCTGGATAAAGACCAAGTCAAGGTGGTGATTGATGAGGTGACGCGGTGGCTGGACCTGGCCAAGGAAGGTGACCAGATAACTCTGCCTGGGATGGCTGGTAGGGAGCAGGCTATCCTCCCAGGGTGGGAGTGTGGGGGCAGATTATAGTCATGTACTAGAGCTGGGGGACACACCAGCTCCAGATCTTGGTCCCAACTACCATGAATTGAGTCTGATGCCAGTGTTTTCTCCACAGATGCCTAATCCCCAGGCTACATAGTGCTGAGCTGAATTCAAAAGTTAAATAAAGCCTTTTCAACTTTGAATTTCAAGACTGAGGAAGTGAAGTTCATTCATGAGCCATCCTTTAGATTTCATCCTGAATTCTTTTTGTTACTGACTTTTGTTAATCCTTGTTCCCTACCCCACGCATATGCCCCAATGTGACAGTTTACAGAGCCAAGTCTGTGGAGCTTGTTGGTCTCAGACCCTAGCTATGGGGTCCATAAAAATCAGAACTATTTCCAGAATGTTGCTCAGCAGTGGCTTGCTGTCATCATTGCAGTGTTTCCTGGGTCCTGTAGTGTTGGGGATTAAACCTGCTGGCATCTTAGCAGGAATTAAATTATGTAGGTGCATCAGATGGTGCTGGTAGTTACTGCATTCTTTGTTATTATCAGGTTTTTAAAAAAGCAACTGAGAGCCTCCTTGATGAGGAAGTAATATTCATAGTTTTAGACCTCATTTTTGAGTTCTCGTCTTTTAAATATTCTATGTTAATGTAAGTATAGAAAAAAATAAGTATACTTGTCGTTCTATTGAGAAAAAGCACTCTGCAGTCTTTGGAGTCAAGGATTAGGTTCTGGGTGTGTCTGGGGTGTGTGTGTGTGTATTGTGCTTAGGTTCTGGGTGTGTGTGTGTGTGTGTTGTGCTTTTTAGTCCGTGTGTGTGTGTGTGTGTTTTGTGCTTTTTAGTCCCTGTGTGTGTGTTTTGTGCTTTTTAGTCCCAGTGTGTGTGTGTGTGTGTGTGTGTGTTTTGTGCTTTTTAGTCCCTGTGTGTGTGTGTGTGTGTGTGTGTGTGTTTTGTGCTTTTTAGTCCCAGTGCTGAGAATCAAACCCAGTGCCTCCTGCATGCTAGGTAATTGTTTTACCATTGTGTTATACTTCCAGTCCCAGCTGGGGTTTTTTCTTTTCTTGGAATACAATTTTTACTGGAAAAAAATTTATTGTTATTTAGACTTTGTTTTCGCAGTCATTTTCTCAATGGAAAAAGTAGGTCTGTAACTTTAAGGAAAAAAACTCAAAAGTATTTGCTAGTGATAAAATTTCAGTCAAAAACAGGAGTTTGGGAAAACTTGAATCTGCCACCATAAGCTTGATGGCTTTCTAACATGGAGGCCATGTCATAGCCTCATCATGTCACATCAATGGTCATGTGTACAAATGTCTTTTGTTGATATTATGTAGTGAAATGTGTGAATATTTGGAAGATCTGCATAACTCTGCAAACTAATGTCTTCCTAGCAACCAGTGTATGTTGTTACAAAATCATGGCTAAGAAAATCCAAGGAGTTAGATGTGGTGGCATATTATTGTATTCATAACCTTGGAAAGCTAAGGCAGGACAATTTCAAGTTTAAGGCCAGCCTGAGCAATTTAGTGGCTCAGACTTGGTCTTGAAGTGAAAAAATAAAAAGCTGGTGGACATAGCTCAGTGCAGAGGCCTTGAGTTCAATCCCTGATGCTGGGGGGAAAAAAACATTAAAAATACAAAACAGGCCTGTAGGATTTAATGTTAAAGTGCTAGGAAGTTTACTAATAATGAACTTAGATGACATTAGACAGTTGATCTTCAAACTACCATGTATTGAATTTACATGGTATTACAAAAGAACACTCAAAATCATTTGATAGCTCTTCCCCTGTCCATTTAGCCATCTGTATATTTAGGTTTTTTCTTTATTTCAATGACCACAGCATATCACAGAAGATGAGCCGATTAAATGCAAAAGCAGATGTGATTTTTAGCTAGGTGCAAAAATGTGAAACGATATCACACTTAAAAAAAATGACAGTACTGGGGATGAAACCCAGTCATAACCTACCCCTGAGCTACATCTCCAGCCCCCTTTACTTTTTTTTTTGAGGCAGGGTCTCTGAGGTGCCCAGGCTCCCCGCAAACCTGTGATTCTTTTGTTTATTTTAGCTGGAATTACAGGCATGTGGCACTGTGCGTGGCACTGTGTCACTCTTCTGGCTTTTTCTCTTTGGAAAATATTTTCATGAATTTCAAAATTGAAATTTTTTAAATCTAGAGTTCGCATTCCTAATTTTTTATGTAACTGTAACTCAACCCAAAATTCTTTGGAGTCCCCAGTTTGAATGGCCCTGTTGTCAGAAACTTTGAGAATGCTACCCTGGAACATCATGACAGGTTGTGTGACATCATGTAGCTCCTCGGTTTGGGGGCCCCTGAAACCTGCCTTTGCACACGGTTCACCTGTCTTCTAGCCTTTCTCAGCAGGTCCTGTCTTCAGGCTGCTTTTGCAGAGTGTGCATTGTGGCTCCAGGTCTGTGTGTGCTTCGTGTTTCCTTGTGCAGGGTTTCGGGCCTTTGAGGTGCAGCTGGTGCTGAGGCAGGCCCTGCCCAACATCTGGACAGTGCTGAGAGACCAGGAAGTAAGTGTCCCTGGGAACAGGCGTCTTTAGCAGCTCTGTCACCAGTCTCTCATTCAGCCTTAATGTGTCTCTGTGAAAGACTTCACTCATCTGCTTTTGTTTTTTCCCTTTCATTTTGAGACAAGAGCTTTTTTAAGCTTGATTCCCAGTGAGCCAGGATTACAGGCCTGTGCCTCTTGCTGTTTTATTTCAGGTGATAGTGAAAAAGGTGAGCCTTCAGCATCGCTGGTACCTGGAGCATGCCTCTGGTGACCGAGACAGCTGTTGGAAGGAGGAGATTCTTCTCTCTGCGAGAGGTTTTTCTGTCTTTTTCCAGATGCTGGTACAAGCACAGAAGGTAGGGAACAACAGTCGTTTCTTATCCTTTGTCTTTCTGGCTGTAGTTGTTGAGGGTCCTTTAACAGTAAAATAAGGCTAAAATCAGTGATTCCTTCTTACTGATAATTAGTTTTGTGATCCTAACCTTATTTTTTTACCAAATCATGATGGCTTAATTTGGCAAAAGACTATAATGTGAAATAATACTTTGTTTGTCCTTTTCAGTAACACAGGGATTTTGACACTAATTATCTAAAACTATTTGGAAAATGATGTGTATTTATTTCAGTTTAGATTCTCAGCTGGGCGTGGTGGCACATGCCAGTAATCCCAGCATGGGAAGTGAGACAGGAAGATCACCCTGCATTCATGGCCAACCTGAACTACATAGCAAGACGCTGCTTCCAAAACAAATAAAAAATCGAAACAGTTTAGATTTTCACTGTGGACCCTGTTTTAAAACTCTGTCCCTTCCCTGCCTTCTCCCCTCAAGCAGTCCTGCAGCTTACATGGGAACAGAGTGAGACTGGGGATGGAATTATCAGATGACCAGAGTCACAGCTGGCTCTGAAGCTACATCCTTTGCCTTTGCATCTATGACAGTGATGGCAAACCTTTTAGAGCTTTCAATGGTACAGCTTACTGGCGGATGCATGCCGTAGGCTCACCACCTCTGGTCTATGGTGTCTGTCTTTATTATTTTTTAAATTTCATTTGTCTTACCTGTTGATTTATTCCAAGTAGCCCTTGGTGGGGCATAACATGATGATGGATCTGCTGCATCTCCATGAGAAATTCTTCAGACCCCTCCCAGGTGAGGACAGACCTGCTGCTTTCCTTTCTACCTCCATTTCTCTCTCTCTCTCATCCCATTTGCTGGAATTTCTCATACTGCATTAGTTGATGTTGGCAATGAAAGTAGCTTGAGTTTAGTAGAAAACCACTGGTCTGTACCATTAAAAGTGGTGATGGCAGTTTGGTTTCAGATTAGAAATCCTTGATGGTTAGGATTGAGGATGCTTTTAATTTGTTTTTGTTTTGTCTGCAAGGGTAGAGAGTGGTTCTTTCCCATTTTTACCAACAAACTAACTCACATTTTACTGTTTGAATCTTTCTCCTCAGAAAGCTATGATCAGTTTAAGCAGAATATCCACAACCTGTTTCCTGTTCTTATTGACACCAAGAATGTTACAAAGGATATCTGGAAGGTAACAAATAGAATTTACTGTGGGGTAAGGACTGCTCTTTTCCATATTGGTACACTTAGTGCTTTCTCTTGCTCTAATTTCTCTTTGAATTCTTCCCTTTTAAAAGTGGGATTAGCAAGGTATGATGGTGAATGCCTGTAATCCCATTGCTTGGAGGTTGAGGCAGGAGAATTGCCACGAGTTTAAGGCCAGCTTGAACTATATAACAAGGCCCTGCCTCAAAAAATTAAACCAATCAAAACACAACAGAAATAAAATGGAATCAGTTTCATGTTTTGGCACCTGTGGGTCATATTAGCTTATATATGATTTTTTCCTTTCCCTCTTTGAAGTCCCCTGTTTTTGATTTGTTTATATGTAATTGTTGTGCTTCAGATGGCACAATGGAATATTTTATTTTGGAGCTTGATAAGTTTGGGGGTACTGGGAATTGAGCTCAAGGTCTTATGCTTGTCAGGCAGGCCCTACACTGCTGTTTAGGGCCCCTTGATAGAACAGGTCAGTTTTCAAAAAAAAAAATCTAATTAAAAACAATACAACACATCAAAGTTCCCTTACATCTCCTTGATAGATTTTTGATGAACATTTTGGACATGGCTTACCCAGCACCAGGGTTGGGTCCTTTCTTGAAAAGTGTTGAGAAGCATCATCTTTGCCAGGCCCTGAGGTCATGGGTTCCCATCCTGATAGTGAGGGAAGAACCACTGTGGAGTTACAAGCTGGCCCACTGGTCCACCTGTCTCCAGTGTGGGTTCAGGTGGAGTCTAGGATGGGGCCAGATGGTGTGCTGACAGCCTCCAGGTGGTTCTGTTGTGCCATCAGGTCTTGCACTGTGTGGAAAAGAGACCCAGCTGCCTTAAATGGTGCCTAGAAACTGAGGAAAAGAGTTTTAAACTCTTAGGGTAGTGACCTTGAATGAGTTATTTAAGAAGAGAACCAACAAACAGGTTCCTTGGTGTATCTTTGCCCAGGAAAGCTTTTCATATTGGTTTGATGTATTTCGAGCTTTGATGAACTCCTGGGACTCCCCCAAGACCCTTTCATCCCTAGTATGCTCTGAATGTGACTGAGTCCCCATTTAGTACCTGATTCCTGTCTTTACAGAATCCCTTAAACTTGTCTGCTGAGGGAGATGGTGTGTGTGCTGTTGGTGGCACTTCACTCTAGCCTGGCATTGGGAACCCTGCTACAACGCTGTAGGGTCCTGCTTCCCTGATTCTGTAATTAAGGAATACGTTCCCTCAGGACATGGGAAGAGGAAGAGAGGCTTATAGGAGTCAACATTTTCCAGGTTACTTTAGGTCTTTGGTAAGACCTAAAGCAGATGATAGCCAGAAGCACAAATGTTTTGTTCTCCCTGATTTGTTTTCTGTAATTGCAGGAACTGCATTTCCCACGGGTTTCCAACCTCTTGGAAGTATACGAAGTGCTGAGTAGGTAAGGAAGGTGTTTCTCAAGGTGCTCCTGGAGCAGGGCTGGGACTCCTATGATCAGATCAGGCAGTCCCTGGGCCCCACTTCCAAGAGGAAAGGAAGAGGCCAGAGGCAGGAATATCTCCACTCCCTGTCCCACTCTCCTGAAGGCTTTGCTTTCCTGTCATTGTTCTTGTCTCCTCTATCACCAGCAAACACAAGTGCCTTCTCAGTGTGAGCCAGGTGGACAGGACTCCCCCTGACCTCCTCTAGCCCTACATTCCCTCCCTGGGGTCTTTAGTCTTTTATTTTTTTCAGCACCAACACTTAAAACCCAAGCCTAGCATGGTGGTACACACTGTCTGTACAGAAGTCCTACAGAGGCAGGAGGACTGTAAATTAAAACTCAGCCTCAGAAAATTAGCAATTTAGTTCATCTCAAAAAAAAAAAAGTGCTGGAGATGTACCTCAGTACAAGGGCCCTGAGTTCATCCCTGTTACTATGCAAAAATGGGGCAGGTCTGTGTTGGTGACCGTGTGCTAGGGTAGGAGACTGAGATGGTTGCTACATCTTTGATCCAGGGAGGCAGTAGTGAGGCATCTGCTGCTGTTACCTGGAGATGCTGTTGCTGCTCTGCTGTTGGTAGCAGGTCCAGGTAGTGGTCTCCACGTCACCTTGACCATCAGGATTTCTTGCCTTTGATGCATTGCCCTTGGTGTGGCTGGCGTGCACATGCTTACACATCTCTTAGTTGTCAGGACAATAGCTGGAAGGTGTTCATTCAGAACAGGATATGACCATGTCCTTCACAGCCCTGGTCTGTGATGCTGCCCTCCTGGATTTTTCTTTTTTGCTGGGAGCGGGGCGGGTAGAGTCTTTCATCCATTCCTGTGTCCATCTCTTCATCTCTTCAGTTCTGTCTTGGGGCCCTTCCTTGACCTTCCTCTTGCTTCTTACTGTGTCTAGAGAACCCTGGGTGGTCCTGCTCTATGTGACCTGCAGGCACCTTCAAATAGACATTTGCCTATGTCTCACGCGCTCATGCCAGTGTATGAGGATAAGACAATGCATTTAAAGGGCACAGACACAGTATATGTTTGTCACTTGGGCCATCAGAAAGCAAGTTTGGAGAGCAGAGGCATCATCCTGTTTGTCTTGGTGCCTGGGCTCAGGTGAGAGTTTGTTAAATGCCCAGAATGGTCTGGCTAGAGCCTTTTGCACAGCTGTTCTCTTTTAAAAAATTTATTTATTTGTATAGTTGATTTTTCATTTGATCTGTTGTCTAGTTACCAAGACCATAACTGTCCATGTTTAGAGCTGTGGCTTTTAAAAATGTATGTGCTAACTGCCTGTGGTGATGCACAATATAATCCCAGCACTTTGGGAGGCTGAGGCAAGAGAATTGAAAGTTTAAACCCATTCTGAGCTGTGTCTCAAAATAAAAAGATCTGGGATATAGTATGAAGGGCTCTGGATTCACTTATCAAATACTTTTTTTTTTTTTGTACAGGGGATTGAACTCACGACCTTGTGCTTGCCAGGCAGGCAGGCAAACCACTGAGTTAAATCCCCAGCCCCAGGGCCCTGGGTTCAATCCTCAGTACTGCAAAAACCAAAAGTGTTTGTATGTGTATTCTTATACATATATATATACACATGTGTATGCATGCATGTATGCATATGTATGTACATGAATATACATGTATATGTGCACATATATGTGTAGTGTGTGTGCATACATGCTGAGGACATACCTGTATAATTTAAGGGGCTTGCAGGAGAATAAGAAAGGATTGTTTTTTTTTTTTCTATAATAGCAACTTGAATCCCACCAAGGATTCTGCACCAGTGATTGTTCATGGAAACAAATGTGAAAAATACGGTATGTCCCCTTGTCCCACTATGGGCTGAGCCGGGGCCTTCCTGGACCCTAGTGGGCCAAGTGGCAGGCTGTGGGAGTACACATGGCTTTCCTCCACTGCCTGCCTTGCCCACTTCTCACAACTCCTGCCTCTGAGGTGTGCCGTCACAGATCACATCCAAGGCCAGGAGCTGTTTATTTCCCCCCGGGATGGGTGTCTAACCTGTCAGGAAGCTCTGGGTTGTGACACTGACTTGTGAGCAGGAAGGGAGTGCCCACCGCATTGGGGGTCATGTGTGCTGCAGCTGCCCTGAACATTGATCTAGGCTGGGAAAGGGCTCCTTTGCCCAGGCTGTTTCTAATAGCTGTTCACTGTCCTACATATGGGAAATACTCCAGCCAAGACGAAGTACCCCCATGAAGCAGGATATGATGCCTTCCTATGTGGATCAGGTAAGAGTTGTGGGCCCTTTTAGAGGAGACCTACTTTCATTGGTGTTAAGCTGTTGCTGTCCATAGGTTCTTGTTTATTTCATATCAGGTTGAGCCTAACAGGAGATTGAATGTTTTGACAAGATCTCGAAGGTTGTTACACCTCTAGCTTTTCTTTCCAGTTCTTTTGAAAGTGGCACACTTGCTCCTACAGCGAGTGCATGGGTGAGTGTATCTTCTTTTCATCGTGTTGCTCATTCTGTGGGCAGGATTTAGTGAGTCCTTGTGGTCATACCCTGAGCCACCAAAGAGAAGGTGCCATGAGTGTCATATGGATAGATATTGTGCCTCTGCCTGGGCAGCAGCCAGCACAGTGGGTGCAGACGTGGACTTTGTCCATAAAGGCCCTTTCCTGTCATCCCTGTCTGATTTCTGGGTGGGTCATGGCTGCTACCCGTGGGTTTGAGTTGGGAGAATTCACTGGTGTCAGGGAACCCAACAGCGGGCTTCAGTGTGGGTTCTGATACCTGCCTCAGTTATGTCCAGCTTGGTGTGTTCCTCTGTCAGTTATCTACAAATATCCTTGTAACTGTTAACTCAAAGCAAGGGAAAAGGGCAAGGAGTTCAGGCTGTTGCCTGGCACACTGTGGGGTTCACATAAGTGGGGCAAAGGCACTGACTTAGAGTATGCTGCTTGTGGGCAGAGGTTACCATGACAGCAGTATCTCTGACTCCTCCAGCCCGGCCACACAGGGATATAGGAACCAAGTGCACATTTTACACGTGTGTTTTACAGCCTTGTCCCAGGGTGGACATTTGTAGTGCTTAGCAGGCCTAGGGAAGGAGCTAATCAGTTACAGCTTGTACTCAGGACTGTCTTAGGAACACATTTAGGCTATAACTGTCTGTATTCCTTGTGTTTGCTTATTTGGGCAGTGGGTATGGAAGATACAAAAATTGTATGACACATTAATGTGAGCTTATGACTGATGTGAGAAATCCAGCAGCCCGTCTCCCTAGTTCTTGCAGTTTGACAGTGTTTAGTGCCCCCTGGTGGGTGGCAGATGGTAATGTGCTGGGAGATTGCTGATTTTGGCACAGTGCCGCCATGGCTGGCCTGGGACCTTTCACCCTATGTTTACATTTCTCCCCATGACCTAGAAGCAGTACTGGGTTTATAGAGATCCATGGCTTCATTCCTGCCAGATCCCCTGGCTTGCGTTGCTCTCAGGGCCCGAACTTGGGTCATACCCAGACAGAGTGGGGCTGGTGGCAGAATGACACTCTGGGGCGAGGGATGACCATTTAGAATCAAGGGTGACATGGTGTCAAGGTATGATAAAGTGGCACTTCTCCCAGATGTCTTCTTGCTGATTGTCTTGAGCCTATTGTGATGCTGGTCAGCAGAGGACTTGTCCCCAAACTGCCCTGGAAGCGTGGATAGTGACTCTCCAGAAGCTGTGCTTCTCTTTGGGCCCTGGAGCAGGCACTTTGGCTGGCTGGAGGAAGGCCTCTACCATTAAGCCCAGCACTCCTGATGGGTGGAAGGGAGAGCGACTTGGGCAGCAGCTGTGGTTGAGGAAGTAAGAGCAAACGCCCATGTGCCTGAGTGCTCTGGGCCTTCTCTGTCCCTGTAGCCATGTTCCCACGTCTGAGTCGTCCTTCCCGCAGTACCTCGATGTGCTGGCTCCTTACGTGAACCAAGTGAACCTTATCCGAGCGGCAGTCCCTAAAATTGTGAGTAGGTTTCACTCAGCTCCCTCAGCAGACGGTGGGAGGTGGGCTGGTGTCCCCTGGGATGTGCTAGAGGGGTTCCAGGAGCACCGAGGTAAGAGCTGGATGGTGTCCACACCTCAGAAAGCTTTTGATTTCTTCTTGTTTTTCCACCAAAACTCTCCTGACTGCACTCTTTTCTCTTTCTCCTTCTTTCCACCCCCGGCCCCTGTCACAGCCTTTCCTGCTACTGTGTAGCACTTTCAATCACGAGATGCAAAAATTGTGGACAGTCTCTTTTGTTCATGTTTTCTAGAACTTTGCAGGCCCAGATTTTCCCAGTATCCGGCCTCCCATCCTCATCCTCACTGTCAGAAGGTGGCCTGGGGTCAGTGAGCAGCAAGTGTATGGCGAGTTCCAGAACCTCTGCAAGTTCGATGTCAGACGGCTCACTCGAAGCCAGTTCTTGCTCCTGACCAATAAGTTTAAGGAGTAGGTGCTCTCAGTTTACCTTGGTCTGCATCACTGCCGCGCTGCCTGTGCCCACCCCGAGCCTCTGCAGCAGCCGTGTGATGCGTTGCTCGCTGACTCACATGAACTTCTTTGGCAGTGTCCGCAGTGTCCTGAAGGACTACAGGTGCCACCCGACCCTGCAGGTTTCCCTATACCGATACTGGAGACACTCCCCCAATGTCAACTGTGTGCTACAGTAAGTGCCCAGGCTGAAGCTGCCCTTTGCCCATTTGGGTCCCCAGTTGGCCTGATTCATGCTACTTCACTAGCTAGTGTTGGTTGTCCAGGAGTTGTCCGCAGCTACAGTAAGCAGACAGTTCAGTTCCTTCCTCAAATAACTGGGCATCTGCAGTGGTGGGTGCTATTGCAGAATTAATCAATGAATAAAATCGAAGTCCCGCATGCTAGCCAGCAGAAGACAAAAACAAACATAAACGAGTACACTGTATGTATGAGGGGACAAACCTCACACATACAGATGACAAACAAGAGTGTGAAGGGGGCAGGGTCTCAGAATGAAGGCTGGGCTCAAAGGAGCCTATGAGGAGGTCTAAGACTTGGGAAGGGGAGGGAGTAAGCCAGGCAGGGCGCTGTGGGAACAGAGCGTGGGCTGAGAGGCAGTGGTATAAAGCCTTGTTGAAGGCCACAGTGAGTGAACCGCTGAGAAGGAACTGAGCCTGCCTGTTGGAACTGGAGAGGAGAGGCTTATGGGCGTCAGTCTTAGAAGAAGTGAGGGACACTCAAGTCTGAGCAGAGGAGGGACAGATCCAGATTGCATTTTCAAAGCAGTACTGTCTCAGGTGCTGAGATGGGCTGCAGTGGAAGCAGAGGGCAGAACATCTTGGGAAGCAAGCTCACAGCCTCTTTCAGTGTGGCCGTGACTTGGTCCTGCCTGGTGGTACTGGGTATGGTGTCGGCGGGGGGGGGGGCAGCAACAGACCCACAAAGGGTCAAGGATGCTCGCAAGGTTTGGGGCTGAGCAACCAGGTAGATGGACTTACATCTTTGAGGATTCTGGTGTAGGGATGGTGTAGGAACGAACCATCCCTCTAGTGGGTGGCACTGTGTTCTTGTACCAACCTCTGATCTAAGTCACCAGGGAAATGCCAGAGCCATTGACTTTGGAAGGCAAAACTTCAGTGTGGGCCCCAGGGAAGTGATAAAAAGAAAGCATGGTTGGGTGAATGCAATTGGGAGAACGAAGGGCGACCGTGTGGTGCTTGCTGACCTGTAGAGTTCACAGGCCTGCCCTGCCCTGTCTGTCTGTTCTTACTCATGTCATTGTCTTGCAGAGTCTGCAGCGTAGTTGCTGCCTGGGCCCTGCTTGGATTTCTTCTGGGAAGATCCAGCCCCTGAGTGCAGCGAGCCTCCGAAAACCTCTGTCCATCTGTTTGTCCCCAGTCCTTCCTGGGAAGGCCTTCCTGGATTTTGTTTCTGTAAATCATACTCCATTTGCATGTGGATCTGCATGGTCTTTGCTGTCAGTGTTGTTTTGAGAGTGAACTTCTGTATATATACCATAAACTATGAAGAAATCCTTGCATATAATACCTTTGTGTGGCCATCACTTTCTATATCTGACTGGTGATTTAAGTCAGTGCTCTGGAATATCTAGAATGGATAGTCCATCAGAAGCCACCCACCAAGTGAGTGAAAGGCCATGTCATTTATGGAAGAGAAATTAATGACGAATAGCTGTTGGGGATTTAGGCCCGAGAAAAGACTTTTCTCATGAAGGGAAAAAAGTAAAGCTTGGTAGAATTAATGACACACACTGGTGACATTTTTGATAAATGTAGTATCTCAAGCTATTAAAATGTTCATATTTGTTTTAGTGATAAAAAAATACTCCCTGGCAGAGATTATACCTTGGAAGTCAGATTCCAGTCAAATGCTCAGTTTCCCCCACAGCCATCCACACTCCCTCCAGGGTGGTCAGTCACTTTTCCCGGAAGGGTCTGAGCTCAGCTGGGCTCTTGCTCAGCTGTAAACTTCACCTGAGGATTCTGCAAAGCCTTACATTTAGTCCGGTACTTTTCTCTAAAAGAACTAAAATATAGCATCTGCCCTGAGAATTTGAAATCTCATTTTTTGCTTGCCATCTTTCTCTTCTTTCTCATTGAATCCCTAAGCTTTGCAATGACCTACATCCCCACGCCTTTTCTGTTTTTAGTTTTGAGACAGTATTTCACTTAAGTCACCAAATTGCCCACATTAGGCTCAAACTTAGGATCCTCATGTCTCAGCCTTCCAGAGTGCTGGGATTACAGGAGTTGAGTTCCCACACCGTCTTTGAAAGAGCTGCTTTTCTAGCAGTCATGTATTTCTCCTAAGGCGGGTAAGGGACATGGTGACTGTACAAGATTTAGGGCAGCTTATAATCAAATGATCCCGGCTGTGTCTTCAGTGCCAGGGTTTTTGAATTTTGCTTTGGTTTTTTCATGGAATAGTGTGGCTAAGGAGAACTCCTTTTTCTCTTCCTTGGATTTTGGGCCCCATTGCATGCATGCACTGCTTGCTTGCTTGCTTATTCATCTGATGGGACCATTTTGGCAGGAGAAAGGGCCTTGGCATTGCTTACTGATCCATGCAGTTCACTGGCACTGGTAGTCCATGCCCACTGTAGAAATGCCTAGCATTCTGGGAGCCACCTGCTCCCCGAGCTTCTGCCTCATCTCTGGAAGAAGATCCCACAAGTGGTACAGGCCCTGTCTCTCCTGTCATGAGTCCACTCACCCGTGCTCCTTGCCCGACCCCATCCAGCTCTGCATGCCTGTGTTCAGTTATAGTTCCCATCATGATGTGAATAAAACCAAAGAAGCCAGAAATTAGCCTGTCTTCTCTGCTTCCAAGGCTCTGTCTGCTGCTGCCTGGCTCTGGCCCTTCTTCCCCTTCAACCACACCTTTGGACTAGTGCACTCCATTCTCCTGCCCTCCTGCAAGTACCCTTGCAAGGGCCTTGGTGCCCACACCAGCCTGCGGGTGTGCTTGCCTCTGAGGCCTGTAGTGTTTCAGACCTTGATTTTAACTACTCGGCACTGTCAGCCCTGTGGCAATGCAGCCCTGAAGTTTGCTGGTCAGCTGCCACATCCCAGGTCCCCTGCTGAGCTTCCTAGATTGTCCTTGACAGGCCCAGCTCTTCCTGGCAGGGTGGCACGTCTCCTTCAAGTTGCCTTGTCTGAGAAGCACTGACCAAAGCCACCCCTCCTCAAGCTCCCTGATGGCCCCAGCCTGCTCCGCTCTCCGCTCTCCGCCCAGCTGTGCTTACTCGTGCACCACCAGCAGGGACAGAGAACCATCTTGGCTCTGACAGCCCTGTCTGACCTCAGATGTGAGGAGGGGCTGCAAAGCAGATATGGCCAGTGCTGCAATTTGTACCAAATCCCTAGACCCTTGACTTTCACAACTGGTGTCCTGCCATCTCTGCTCTCTACTCTCTGTCCCCATGGGCAAGCTGTCCTTGAGTTTGGGGTTTCTCTTCTATCTGCCTGGCTTATTCCCTTGAGTCTCTCCTTTGACATCATCTCTTGTTTCTAAGTTATTGTCACCCCACTTCGCCTAGCAGGTGTCAGGGACTCATCTCACCTCTGGGGACCTCGTGCCTGCTGGGGTACCTGGCCCTGTGGGGCTGTCCCTATCTTGGCCCACACAGGTGATACTGGGTCTCTGGACTGTGGCACCTGCAGTTGCTCAGTGTCTGCAGAGGGTGTCCTGGTGCTTGCTAGAGGCTCCACCTCTGGGCTGTGATTTTAGAGTTATTTGGTGTTGCACAACTGTGTTACTAGCTTTCCTTTACTGTAACAAACATCTGAGATAATCAGCTTATAAAGGGAAAAGGTTTATTCTGGCTTACCAACTTAGGGGTTTCAGTCCACGATCTTTTGTCCCCCACTGTGGTGGGTGAAGCCATGCATCATGGCTGGTGAGGTTAGCAGAAGACATATCCCTCCTCACGGTCAGGAAGTGACAAAGCAAACAGTGGCTGTGGTCCTTCAACCCCCTTCAGGACCATAGCTCCAGTGACCTAAAAATCACCCACTAGACTGCATCTGTTAAAGGTTCTGCCAGCTCCCAATAGTGCCTCCCCGCCTCCCCAGGAGGGACCAAACTTAACACATGGGTCTTGGAGTGACATTTAGTATTCATCGTTTGGGGCACTTTAAGGATGGCGCTGAGTCTCATCACTTTGTGTAACTGATACGGGCCTGTGTGTAAGAAGGAGAAGGGACAAGCGGCAGCCTCTAAATCTCCACAACGCAGTGTTTGTACCAGCCCCAGGTCCAGATTTGGTAGAGGTGAAGTGGTTGCATACCCTTGCTCTTTTTGAACTTTGCATTTTTGTAGTTTCCACTGCATTACATTTTTAGTGTGAGAGATTGTGACTAGAAATAGTCTTAAAATCTTAAAATTAGTTACACCTCTTATCCCCGCCCTTGCCTTGTGTTACTGGGGATTAAACCCAAAGAGCACTGAACTATGCCTCAGTAGACCTGGTATTTACAGGCTTGTGTCACCATGCCCAGCTAACCTTTCTCACATACCCTTCAGGTACTGCCGTACGGTAAGTGCTATGGGCTGACACAGTGGCTTAAATGACAGATATTTAGCTCTAAGTTCTGGCAGCTGGGACATGTGACATCAGGGTGCCAGCTAATCCAGTGCTTGCTGCGGGCTCAGTTCCTGGCTTTTGGGAAGGAAACTACTTGAGATGAAAGGATGGAAAGTTTATTATGGCTCATTGTTTCATGGTCATGTGGCACTGTTGCTTTGGGCTGATGTATGGTGGAACAGACTCCTCACCTTGTGGCTGACAAGCAAGAAGAGAAGCTGTCGAGGTCTCAAGAGCATGACCCCAGCGATTTCACCTTATCCCAGGAGCCTTACCTTTTAAAGATGTCTGAGTTGGTCATGGTACTGCATGCCTGTAATCCCAGCACTCACGAGGCTGAGGCAGGAGGATCTCGACAAGTTCAAGACCACTCTAGACTGCAAAGTAAGCTCAGGCCAGCCTGAACTGCATAATGAGACCCTGTCTTAAAAAAAAAAAAAAAAAAGGTCTTACTATCTGCAGGAGTGCCACAGCTGATGACCACACCTTAACAGTGGTTCTTTGGAGAACATGTATCCAAACCAAACCTTCCCTAACCCCAGGTCCCTTATGTATTTTATAATGCAAAATGCATTTATTTCAAGAGTCCTCAAAGTCTTACGTGTTTTAGCATTGTTTAAAAGTCTGAGTCCAAAGTCTCTTAAGACTCAAGGTAAACTCAGCTGTGAGCCTTATAAAAGCCAAATAACAAGTATATAATTTCCCAGATAAATGGTGGGTGGTAAACATACCTATTCTAAAAGGGAAAAACAGGAACATGGCAGGGGACCACCGAACACAGGTCAGAGTGCAGCATCCAGGTCACACTGAGGCCCTGTGGCAGCCTTGCGGGCTGCCGCTCACACAGCCTGTCTCATGGCAGACTCTGCTCCCTGCCTAGTTTCCTGTGGCGGATATTCCCCGTTCCTGGCATCTTGAACTTCTGGAGTCTCTCTTACAGCTTTGGCTTTACTCTCAGAGCTTCTCTCAGGAGCAGCTTGCAAGGGCTGTGACCTGCCACACACTGCGTGGCCTCCCAGATGCTCGGATGCTCTGGATGCATCTTTCTGTTGATCTGGTGCAAAGTGCATGGCCTCTTTTTATTGGTGCCAATCTCCTCAGCAATGGCGTTCTCCTTGGCAGCACTTTGAAAATGTGCTCCTTTGACCACCAAGCCACAAGTTTCCAGAATTTTCCCATTTTACTCTTCTTTGCCTCTGATTCTCAAATTTGGCTAAAAGCAGCCAACTGCTTTTTGCTGGTGCCTAAATATGATGCTGCCTTGAAATGTCCTCTACCAGATTAATCTGTTAGCTTTAAGCTCAGCTTCCCAAATAGTCTCAGAACACGAACAGACTGTAGCCACATTATTTGCTGTGATGTGACATGGGTGTCCTTTAGTCCAATTCCAAATGGAGGCATCCTTTCCATCTGAAACTTCCTGAGCATTCACTTTATTGTGTTTATTTCTAGCAGCATTCTGGTGTTCTGAGCCTCGCTGGAATACTGTTTCAGTTTATCACCCAAAGCAGTCTAGGCTTTCTTTAGCTTGCTTCTCCAAATATTTTCAAATTCCTCTCACAAATTCCAAACACCCATCTCTTTGGTACCAATTTTCTATATTAGCTGCTTTTTATTGCTGTGACCAAAAATGTGAGAAAGTCATTTTAGAGGGCTCATGGGTTCAGGGGTGTCAGCCCATGGCTGACTGGTTTTAGGAGTCTTAACCTATGGTAAACTGACTCCAAGGAAGAAACATCATGGTGGAAGAGTATGTTGGAGGAAAGCCACTGAATTTATGGCATGTGGGAAGCAGAGAGCAGGGAAACATTCAAGAGGAAGGAGCCAAGAACCAAATATAGTCCCTAAGGTCACACCCCAAGATTCACCCAGAAGTGTGCCTTACTGATCTTGTAGGAGTCTCTCAAGCCAATCAAATTGACAATTAGGATTAACCATC